TTTTCTCATGGTAGCTGTGATATGATATAATTGACCCTGTCAGTGCTGAGGACCCGAACCGCTAACGCCTGCAGCTGTATTAGTAATTTTCTGACAACTGAGAGAATGCATCAGGGAGTGTGCTTCAGATTGTGGTCCAGGGCTCCAGTCTGGTTTGTAACCAAGTTTAATAACTTGTTCTCATATAGGTATGTGTCCTCACGAAATTTAACATGAAAAGTACAATTTGATGGGGCTTTGGCCAAAGAGAAGGAACACAAGGAGTACCAATCTGTAATGAAGAAGGTGGGAGCTTTGATACAAACTCCGAACCAGAGAGGATACCTTTGCTAGGGCTGAACAAAAAATTTTAAGCAAGTACAGGTCGCTGTGGGAGCCGACACCCTTAGTCTATCGGAAGCTTTGGACGCTCTGCAAAATCACTCAATGTACTTAGACTAGCCCAGATGCCAGCCCTCCATCAGGCCGAAGTGTTTTAGCTCAGAGTACCAACAGATGAAGCTATCATGATGAGTAGTCAAATTATTGTATTTAGTGTACCAGAACTTTTTTGGGCCTCCTTTCGGGGTAAAGACCACTGGCCATGCATGATGGTCTTTTCTCAAGGAATGGCTGATTGACATGGTAAACAGCAAGATAGGCATAACCCCCATATCAGCCTCATGCTCAGATGACCAACAAGTATTATGATCCGCAAGTAAAATTTTGGAATGGACTATTTCCTATCATCTGGTCGATGAAGTTTGAAGCAATCTGAAAGGTGTGATGCTTCCCAGACATCGAGGTTATATATTCAGACCTCTAAACACTGAATGGATTCGCACCATGTGTATTGGGGCTGAATCTCATATTCATGTAGTTCCAACTAAGAAACGAAGTCGTATTGGGGAAACGTCAGAATGTATTGTGGTTTTGCATAGTTGGTTACTGGTAGGTTTTGAATGAAAGTCATTGAACAAAGAAAGTTATGTATTATCGTTGATCCTGTCTGCATCTCAAGGACTCCGTATTCAAAGAGCTTCTCAGTCCAAAGAAGATTTTCGCGGACATCGCCAGATTTAGACTTCAAGAGTTCTATTCGAAATGAGGACTCTTTGGTGCCAACTCTATAACATGGAGATTTTGAGAATATTTCTATAATGGATGATAGTCATTCTTGATGAACTTGAAGCTTCAAAGGGATATTTTTTCGGTCATAATTACGATTTTATTTCATGGTTTTAATCATAGTGTGATTCTGTGGATTGTAAATATTACATGTCATAGCTTCAAAAACTCATATTGGACGATTTTGAGAGAATTTTGAACCGTTGAAAGTGTTTAAAAAATGAATTTTAACGTTAAATTTGATGCAAAGCGTACAAAACATTCTTTAAATTTCTAAACTGGTGATAATTCAGAATTTTAAAAAATACATTTATATTTGGTATTCATGCATAGTTTATGTGAATATTTTCCAATATTAATAATTGAAATCCTTCAACGAAGATTTGCAATACGCAAATGAAAATTAAAATGAATTCTTTTTAAACAAATTTTACTAGATTTTCAAAATACACAGTTTTAAACAAGGTGCAGGATCGGGTAAATTGTATATTTTAAATTATATAATAAAATACCTATATAATTTATCAAATATACTTTGAATAAGAAAACTTTAAGCTGTATACTTTTTATTTTATTCGAGATTACATAAATTTGTGAAATAATGCGCAAATTTTTGAACAAAATATATTTCACTAATCAAGTAACGTTGATTTAAATTTTAATATGTTATGATCTTAGTCTATTTTGATATAGTTTCAAGTGTATGCATGATTTGGAAATAAATTAAAAGATATTAACAATAGATATATTTGAAAAAAAAATTTCCAACTGTAATCAATATGAAAAAGAAATGATAATTTTTTATTACTCAAATTTTATTTCAGGTTTATATAAGTCTTCAAAAAAATACCAAATAATAATTAAAGAAATTATTAAAAGCTCAAATTAGTCTAAATAATTTAATTTATCTCTTAAAAAATTTAATATCACAAATGATAGGTAGCAATGAACATGGCACACCAATAATTTAAACTTTTGTTTAAATATTTTGCACATCGGATGAAAAAATATAGACTGCAATCCTCATGCATGAATGAGATTCAGTTCCAACTTGTAGATCAATCCATAGGAGTTCTCCTAAAAATAGGTCTTTCATGATGGAAATCCTGACGAGGGTTCAGCGTTCTAAGATGACAACTTTTTCTTAAGAAGGTCTGAAGGGCTGTGTGAGTTAGATATGGGACTCTAGTGTACATTCTGTTGATTGCACAGTTTCTTCTTGGTACGTAAGCATATAAACATATATAATTTGATTCGATATGTTTGTAACAAATATAAACTTAACATTTATATTGTTATTAAGCTAATTATAATAATTTCTAAACAATTGTGATACAAAATTTATTATATATTAAAATTTTCAATGTATGCTTCATGATGATTACTTTGAAAAGTATTTTGAAAGTTTTGGCAACATTGCAGTTGTTGCATATCAATACAAGGGTTAAATTTAAAATATAAAATTTTTATCTATCATTTTTTAACTATTGCTCAAATCTAATTCAGATATGATTTAATACTCATAGTAATCTCTGTCTTGTTTATTTTAATAATTATTTGCGTTTTCATCTACAAAATTTTGCTCCAACAACGTCAAAGAGATTCACTAAAAAGCAGAGTCTTGAATTTTTAGTTTTTTTCAGTTCTATATTCATCAAATTGCTTTTGATGTTTGCGAATTATTGAAAATAAGTCATTTAAAAATTATTTGATTTTAAAATTTTCCATTATTAATAAGCTTTTTTCAAACAGTGACAATTTTTTTTAATACTCTCACTTTTCAATCATCAACAAAAAATTTCCAAGCATTCATATCATAAATCGTATTTTGAACGCAAAAGTGTCTAAACAAAAGATTTACAGATTTCATTTTTTTGAATAATTACTTTTTTTACAAATAATTAATTATTCATGAAATTTTCATTGAAAAAAATTCAATATCAAAAAATCTAACTTCTAAGTTAAATTGAAATCTTGCAAATCTTAATTTTAAAAAATTAAATTTAATGATTTGTTTTGAAAAATAAATTTATAAATTAAGAAATTTATCAAGAACTTGAATAATAAAATTGAAAAAATATTACAATGCTTTAAAATTCATAAATAAGTATTGTTAGATGTTTTATCACTAATATATTTTAATTTATAATTTAATTCTTTTAAATCTCATTATATGGCAATGATTGTCAATTTGATCAAATCAGTTTGAATTATAGACTTAAAAAGTCATAAAATAAATTGATAAGAAACCTTACAATGCTTTCACTATCATTGAAAATGTCTAGTTAGACATATTATCAGTTCAATGTATTTTGTACTATCATTGTACAATTACCTTAATTTTTTTTATCAGTTATTGAATCATCAATTCTTATCACTTGAAAACGCTATCTTATCAAAAATCAGATTTAGTACATATCATTCATTGTATCATCAGTTTTTTTTCAATTTTATATGATTATTTAATCATCTTTCATGACCATTATATATCAATGATTTATTGTCACTTTATATCATTCATCATGCTTTCACTTATGATCATTTTTTACCAGTTCTTAATCATCAATTTGAATAATTTTGTATTTGTATTTTATCATCATCCTGTATCACTTGTTAAGGCTTCATTTTTATTACTTTGCATCATAACTTTATTATATTTTTTTATGATTTTTTATTGGTACATAATAACCACTTTGTCATCTTTTATATCAATCATATTATCATTATCTTTTGTACGTTTTAATTCATCATTTTGCATGGTTTTATAAACCATAGTAACAACCTTTTTATCACTTTTCAAAAATAAGCCATCACCATTTAGAATCATTTAAAAATTTAATGTATGATTATAATTTTCTTCATTATTTATCAACATCTTATTGTGATAAGATGTTGATAAGATTAAAATCATTTCATATCAGTAATTATGTGATAACCTTGACAACTTGCATAAAATTTTTATTATCTTTTAAATTATTTTGTGGTGTTAAATTAACAATTTCTAAAATACTTTGAATCTACTTTGATATTGTATCATTCAATATTTTATCACTTTGAATCAGTATTTTAATATCAAATTGACTCATAGTAAAATATTAGTGTTCCTGTGAAAGTAGACTATAGTCAAAACACATGTGTATGAAGTTTCTTATGTGAATTTTCTCATGTGTTTCATCACATTTTCTGACAAGCACAATAAAACACGCTGATTTGTCTGCAATTCTATCCTTCATGTGTCTCAACTAGTATACATTATTACACAACACCGCAAAATATTCATTTTGAATTCCAAGACATGACTTCAGAGGAAAATTGTTAAAAGTCAATCCTTTATTACTTATACTATGATCAATTAGATTAAAATGGAACCACTAGAAGAAAAATTGCAAATTTTTTTTCAACATAAATTACAATGTTGAATAAAAAGATTTGTGTTTGACATGAACATAGTTTATATGAAATGAATACACATTTTTGTATGTGCTCACTTTGTTTGATAATTTTATTTGAGTGAAAATATTCTTTAAAGTAATATCTGTTACGGTCAAATATAAAATTCATCAATACAAAAATTTAGTTTTATTTTTTTATATTCAATTTTATGTTTTATTCGTTAAAAAATCAAGTGTTTAAATAATAATTTAGAAATAATTTAGCTGTCACGACATGCCATCATTCCATGCTAATCCCGAAGGCAGCGTGTACTACGTGTCTCAAAGATAATGCGGTTGAGCAGCGGCCACAGCTGAACTGAAGACACTGACAAACCCAGTAAATCACTATCGGAATAATTGTCATTGGAGGCAATCGGAGGGTTGGTGACACTTGTCAACATCGGAACGGTTAATCGGAAACCCTACGATCCTCATGTACCGGGCCGCGGCTTTGAGGAAGGGTCGGGCGTAAAAGTCGCCAGGTTTTGGATGCGCAGTTCGGCCTTCTTTCATGCTTGTTTCATGTCAAGATTGTATTCGGAAGATCGAAAATTTGGGTACATCGCTGCAAACAAATTTCATCGCGGAAACTAGTGCTGCAGTGCGAGCTTATTTCGACAAAGGGTTTTTGTTCGAAGCAAAGTTGTAAGTAGACGACGGTGCCCCTCAATCTACAAGAAACCAAATGTAAGAAGTGCATGGTTTATGGATTCTAAATGGTTTTGTCTACTATTGTATATTACTTAATATCCTACCCATGCCTACATCGTAGCACTCTAGAATCAGAAAAATTGACTAATCTTGTGTTGCGAGATGGTGGCAATTGGAAATTTATAGGTGGTTTCAAGAAATAGACCACATGACTTATTTCCACTACTTTTATTCGTAAAGAAAATGTGCTTTATGAGAGAAAAAAATTCAATCTATTATTTCGCTCGACCTAGTCACGAAACCTACGAAAATACTCTCGAATCATGGCGATTTAATTTTTTCTTCTTCATTTCTAGGGCTCTCTTTGAATGCATAGCGAGTAATCTTAATGGTTTTGTCTGCAATTATAAAAGTGAAAATTATACCCATAGCTAAAAGGTAGCGCTCTAGATTTAGAAGATTTGCCTAGTCTTCTGTTGTAAGATGGTGGCGATCGGAAATTTTTGAATGTTATCTAGAAATAGTCCACATGATTTATTTCCATCAGTTTTATTTGTAAAAAAAAATGTGGTCCATGAGAGAGAAAATGCACATTATTATTTCGCTCAACCTAGTCACGAACCCTCCGGAAATACTCTCGAATCATGGCGATTTTTTTTATTATTCGCTTCTAGGGCTATCTTTACTCTTCACGAGGATAAATGTAATTGATATTATTTGTTCCTACAGCCTATCTCAGGTACAAATGCCGAATACTCAGGAAACTCGGGCCAGTGCTCCGGAAGAGCCTAAGGAAAATAAGGAAGTGAAGGGAAAAAGTGTCAGTGAAAATGAAGTTGCCGATGCTAAGCAGCCTGGAATCCGGGAAATAAGGGTTATGTCAGCTAGAGCATACCAGGCGAAGTTGAAGAGTATTTGCTCAGCAAAAACGAACGGTTCCGGGATAGACATCTGAAATGAAGGTTACATCCACATGAAGTTTCAATTCCTAATTGTCGACCGGCTTAAAATTTTCGCAACGATTCTATATTTTGTCGTATCCTAATCGAAAAAGTTCCTACATTGATTCTTGTCTTTTCCCCAGGAAGAAAATCTTCAGGTGGAGCTACAGATTGATTAGATGCTGACGTGTCTAAGGATAGTGCTGCAGGTAAAAGCTCAAAATCTCATCATTTGAACACCATTTCCATGTGTTCTCATGTACTGTTAATACATAATGAAATACCGCTGATGATTGTTACGTGCTTGTTGCAGGAACCTGTATGTGTGAACAGTACTCAGACTTTGTGGTTGACATTTAAATTCACATAGACGGGGATACTGCTGCAGACGGCACGATAACTCTAGAACGGCATTTGAAATTTGCAAAGATCGTATTGCTCTAAAACAGTACTTTCAAAGCCGACTTCAACCCTAATTTCAGACTTAAAGATTGGTTGATGATATCTGGATGCCTTTTGTCGTGATTATCTGGATGACTTGTGTGGGAATTGTGACTTTCTGAGAGGCATTCAATCACCAGACCTCAATGACAAGTCTAAATATCAATTTGCACTGAATGAATCACAGTACTTTGTTGTGCATACTCCTTAGGTGCATTGAGAACATCGGGAACCTGATTAAATCTAGCTTCACTATGTATATACTAACAGGTGCTACGAATGATCCCGTGAGTGTAAATCAAGTCCACGTCTTCAAATGAGACTAATGTCAATATGAGTAGCCTGAATACAAGGAGAACTTGCCAGTAACTCCGAAATTTGGCTGCAGCCTGTAAGCAAGGGTGAATTTCAAGAATAAAATGTCTTTCTAGAAGTTGTGATTTTATTTCTTAAATGACAAGTTGTTTTTGAAATCATTTTTAATATGAAAAACTTTCAGGCTAAACAACCTTGGGTTGAAGTAAGAGCGAGAGACTAGTGTGTCCAACAAAACAGGCTGGTGATCCTGCAGCAGTCTGCAAGCATGAATTGGACACAGTTTTTCATGTGTTCGGAACCATAACGCATCGGATATCTGCTGTGCCTGCCATCAAGTATTTGCTGCCTTGAATTGTCCGAGAGGATTCAAGCTTATACTCCCATGCTTTGACAACTGTGACAAAAGATTCTGTTGCCAAATTCAGATAGCGTTAAAAAATTTGTCTACAAAACTAAAAGCTTCTCTTCAATTTATAAACCCATTGTTTCTTAAAAACATATTGTATTTCCACGACAGAACAGCAGAATGTCTATGTATGAATGGACATATTCTCTGAGAAACTTCCCAAAAGTCCATATACTTCTGCCGAATTCAGAGTAGGCCAGGATTCAGTGGGCAGCAAAGGCGAGGCATGACTGCTTATGTCTGTCAACAGTAACGAAGCAGATTTTCTCTGAACCGCGTTTCAGAGTTTGCCACAAAGAATTGGAACATACTCCGCTCGGAATTTCGAGTACCCAAGACATCTGGGATGCAAACCAGATCGGTGAAACCTTTTGACATCTCTTATTATTGCTTCAATACTAGTCCTCACCGCGCCTACAATTGCCCGTTAGACATCACAGTTTTGATGAAAAAATTTGTCATCAGCCTACAGTCGCCATCCCGTTCTTTTAATAGTCATTACCGCGCCAAATATCCGACTCCTTGTTTGTGTCCCGATGTTCTCCACTTCATCATGGTTGCAGTTTGAGTACTTGCAATTTCCTTATCATCAAAGTATTCTTGGTAATGATTGGTAAGATATATGACGGAGCATAAAGTAGATGGATGTTTTAGGATGATAAAAATTTTTAAATTGATTTTTATCTGAGATTGTGCCACATAATATTTTGTATACAATAACCAAAGCATGGGAGACTTAACTTTGAATAATATTTAATAAATCAAGGCACGAAACACTTGATGGCAGGCACAGCATATATCTGCTTCCGACCGCAAGAATACTCTTTCTAGTTCATGCTTCCAGACTGCTGCAGGATCACCAGACTGCTTTGTTGGAATGACATACTCGTCTCGCTCTTTCTTCAACTCTAGGTTGCTTAGAATATTAACCTCGCCGCGATTCAATAGTATGAGGGAGCATCTTGCTTGCAAGAATCCACTTTCAGGCAGAGGGATTTGTGTTACCAACTCATCAGCATTCCTAAGATAGAGAAACGAAAAGCTCATGTAAGTCATTACAATTGCACGGTACGCTTCTAACATGCCGTATTGCGGTTTGCAAACATACACAATTTGCACAGGCCACATTGAGCTCATTGAAAAATGCTTTGTAACAACTACTTACAATCCCAACACAAATTTAAGAAGTTACAAGTGCAGGCAAGCATTCCGAGCATTCAATGGCAGGCGGTTATGCAGCCGACAAAAAAACTAGTCACCTTAAAGAGTCTACTCGATCATAAATCAGGTGTTTTTTGATAATGTCAGGCCAGGTATGTAGCGATCGCTTGGAAAGTCTCGCTGCAAATTTGAACGACCCGTGCCGTAAAGATGCAGTAACTTTCGTCTCAGTTTTGGCAACGATGCCAGTATAGGGGATCAAATGAGTGCTCGGCAGGTCATCTTCGTACGCTGGGAACTTGTCTGTTGATTTGATTCTCTCACAAATGTACGATCTCTCTGGCACCATGATCAGCAGGTCCCTAGAAATCCGTAGATCAGAACGATTTAGATAGATCCTTCAGCTGATCAAAACCTTTGATGGGCTTCTTACAGGCGGATTTTTTCTCGATGTCCATATACTGTGTTGTGGCAAGAGCTTCATCTTCAGGTGATTTTGGTTCTGTGTTGCGCTGCAATTTCTCGTCTATATGGATATCGTAGGCCTGTAAGCCAGACAGGGAAAAAGATCTGAATGTATTGACGTTTTAAGACTGAGCAGGTTCCAAAACCTTGCAAATCCAAAATTTTGGCTGTAGTAGAATCATATGACAAGGAATCTGATCATATAATATCTGGATTCACTTTTAAAAAAGCTTATGGAGTAAGTTTAAGACTGGTTGATTAGCTTACCACCTGCTACATTCAGAAAGTTCATGATACCAATGTCTTCTGGTTGCAGTTGAGTCGATGTAAGCCACTGATAGTACCAGACGAAAAGCACCAAGCAATTTGTCCTAGGAGATGAACAGACACGGAGACGTAACTAGAAGTCGTTGCTTCCTCGATCCTGGAAAGTTTAGAGTTTTCGGATTGGACTGTACAAATCTAATTTTGACCGGCCGAGGATCCGCAAGCTTGACAATGCGAGGCAGATTGTTAAAAGAAACTTCCAAATACAAACGAGTACGAAAGACTTATTGTCATCGAGGCTTGGATGTTCCCAAGAATCCATGGTTGACTGATCCATCGGGTGATCCTCGACACCAGTGTGCAGCTTCACCGAATGTTTTCTCCTTATTACTTAAGCCCGAGAGAATCAACTGTACTGTCTAGTTTGCATGTTTGAGGTCATCCATTGTGGGACGTCTATTCTCTCTCTTTGCGTTCCTGGCAAATGAATGAGATCTCTTGTCGAATTTTGCAAAGTACATGAGTACCACCATTACTAAAAAAAGGTTTCTCTTAACTTCAGCTCTTTTCTTCTCTGAAACTAGCCTCTTGCTTTGCTGTTGCCATTTGAAACTGTCACACCTTGTCAAATGAATGGGGCAGACTCCACTTTCCATTACAGTCTGGAGCATCTCGCCTTGGGGTTACGCTTTGGTCACGGATGGGCACAGAGCTTGAATAAACTCTCCAGTAAAGGGTGCATCAAGTGTGATGCCTCTTGCCCGTTGCATCCACCAGATCCTTTCTCCAGGTGGTGGCGTCTATATTTTCCTTTTTGATAGGGAGCCGAAGCCTGTCCATTCAGATCCAGGTTCTTCAATAGTCATCTCGGTGAGGGACTGAAAGTTTTCTGCAAGCGCCTGCTATGGTGAGTCTTATCCTCCGGGAAGATACTTATCGCTCCCATCAGTCTTAATATCACCCTCCAGTAGAGGGAACGGAGTTCATCCTACCCAATCATGATAATGAAATTATCTCTTCCGATTAGACGGGATAAGCATGTACATGTGCATACATTCAGTTTTATTAAGAAGTTTGGTGTTGTGCGTTCCTTGTTCGAGCTTGAAGAACCCATCGAGAGGGAAACCCATGTATTGAGGAGAGGGCCAACAAAAATATTTTATGCCATTATCTACGATTTTAGTGACATGTTTTATGAACTTAGACTTGATGTTATCATCTTCTGTTAGTTCATACAAAATATAGATTTCTCAAGATGGAGATAAAGTGATTTACAGTGAATTATCTATAGATGCCTACGTCAACAATGATCTATAGTTGCCATATCAACTTTGATACAATTTCAAGCTATTGTTTTTCAATAATTTTCCCAAGGCTGTTTCTACTTGATCCCAAAGCTTCTTTATAGAGTTGGGCCTTTTTCAAACTGTATTCTCTACTAAAATTTCAATTAGGTCGGATGTTCGTACCGACGCACTGAAAGAGTTGGCCGGGATGATTCGAATTCCAGAATAATGATGGTGTGGTTGAACTGATTTCACATCCGACATTTAGGACTCAAGGTCGCCAATTTCATGTGGCATGATTCTTTTGATGGCAGACCCTATAGTGTCTTCTAAGAGGCAGTCAAAGTCAGCGTGCAAAGGCTCCTGTTTTCCGGCAGTCGATGTCTGCAATCGTTTTGAGTTTCCTATCGTACTCCTGCAATTGAAGCTCCACGTAGGTTTCTTCGCAATCATGAAGATTCCTCCGCCGCCTTGTTCTACTTAATTGGCGAGTCTCGGAAACATACACAACTGCATTACTGTAGAAAATGTGGGAAGCCTGGTTTTCGAACAGATTAATTTCCCTAAACCCAAATCGGGAGTTAACCCGAAGTGAGCTCAATCTCAGACTCCGACACAGAACCTGACATTACTTAGTCAATTGTGCAGTTTACTTAGATCACTTAAAATTCAGTCATTCAGTTCCAAATCTCGATCCTGTGCTACAATCTCCTAGTTTAGAGGCATGTAATGTTTACTCTTACGTTCGGAGGAGTAAGTTTAAACAACCGCATCAAACTTGAATCCAAAAAATCCCGGGAAATTTAAAGTGATCATATTAGTGTTTATAGGAGTTTATTTGGAGAGCCTCCTGTCACAGAGCATTTTCTTACCACTGTAATTGGCTTAGGTACTTACAGCAGTCTTATCTTTCCACATGTAACATGGCCAAATGAATGTTACTTAGTTCCATTAAGGCTTTTCCCGTTTGGTTCTTCTAGTATGCAGATGATACCTGCGACAAATGTATCTTGATTTCATGACCTTGTTATGCAAGATGAGACTTCTTGCGGATTCTTAACTCAAGACATCTTCAGAAGGGTTCTGCACAATGTATATTTTTTCAATTTATCTTCGTATCTCCAAAAACTGAAACTTTGAATAAAAAACTACTTGCTGTGAATTTTTGATACACATTGCTAATATTGTTTTCAATATTGTTTATTCCTAGGAACCTTAATAAGCATAACAAGGTGTAAATAAGTGCAAAACCAGAAGGTGGGTGGGGTGACCAAGCGAGACTCCCTCGGTATAATACGCCTGTGCATACCCATCGATATCCTTATCGGGTTTGCTCTCACAAATGGGGGTCTCTCTACAAAAATTTAACTTGAATTGAGCCGTCCCCGTCAATAAGACCTACATAGCTTCTGTAAATAATTGATATTATGCTTAGGTATGCATGTTTTCACTAAATTGAGACTAATCTCATGAAGAGACCATCATCAGAACAAAATACAGTAAGCTCAGAAACTACAATAAGCTCAGAAATGCAGACTTTATATGCAAAAATAAAATAATCAGGTTGAAGGTTTGAGACAATAACGTTGATAGGCGCAAAAAATTTGCATACACAGATCACAGTGTACAAACGATAATCAATCTGTAAGAAGATCTTCAAAATTAAAAAAAATCTTTGTTCTTTATACATCAAACTATAAAGTTAAGTTTTCCGTTGAGATCACTATACAAAATTTCTATACGAAAAGAGGTCTCATGTTCACAAACATATGCATTCATATATAGTAAGATATTTATGAAAGTTTGGAAAAAATACAATAAATCCAAATTTAAGAAATAAAATTTAATGTACAAAAAAATATTTATAATATGATCGTTATAAAACATCCATTTCATATATCTCAAGATAATTGAATGTTACACAAGGAGCCTAAAGACATCCCCTTTTTGATTTAGAAGCCTATTTGCCTACTATAATTGTCGAAGCATTGAAAGTAGTTGCTACAAAGAAGATTATGTGCTCATATGCAATCAGCTGATGGTCAATAAGGATATACAAAATCAATATCAACCTTCAATCCTGGTCGCCCATAGGTAGGAGTATTGTACGACAGCGTATTCAGTGCAATTCAGTCCATTATGACAAGAAGTTCTAGCGTTGGTATCGCAAGATGAAATTCGATGATCGTCTACTTCAGTGCCAGCTTGCAGTCAAACCAACCCAGTTCCCGGGAAGTATACAAATAAAAGGTCAAGTTCTCCGTTCTCTGCTCACCAATATTTTTATTGATGCATTGAATTTCCTGCGCGTAAATGCTCACCTTGTTTTGATGAGTTGCAAGGTGCCAGTAGCCTCATCGAATTCAGCGTGTCGCTGCTAAAATCGATGTATAGATAAAGGCTATCACAGAGGTAGAAATATTGCATCCTCGAGTTGTCCGATACAGTTAAACATATATATAAATTGGCCATCGAACAATCCGTCATCGTCCGTCTGTAAAAGTCAAGTACAAATCTCATCTGACGCTGCTTCAGCTCCATCTGGGACTGACCACAATGACTTCTCACTCTTGCCAAAACGTAAAGATAATATGGTCTCCTCTTTCCACTAAATTCGCTTTCACCAACCTTTTCTGTAAATTCGGTGCCAATTTATACCTTTCATATGACGTAGTAACTTAAATTGCATCCTCAACATTCTTCTATCGTTTGATACAAGTAGTAAGTAACGATGTTTGCAGTCAGCTTCTACGTTTAAATTTGCATGCATCCAGTGATCTCCGATAATTATATCTTAAAGCAGTTATATCAAGAATACAAGAAATATAGTTCTATTAATTTCGAGAGTTATTGGAAGGTATGCTGAGGAACTTCAAAGTAAAAACATCTCCATGCCTTAATCTTATGCCAGCTTTAGATGTGGTGATCAACGTCAACTTCATGACCTCTAAATCACATTCAATATAATAAAAATTCAAAAAAAAATGCTCACATATGAGACTTGCCATTTGCCACTCTAAACAGAATGAAATGAAACCCAACAAGAGGATCATGTCATGATCTGACCAAAATTAGTATACAAGCGCTCATAAGCTGTGCATGATCATATATGAGAACCTTGCTTCCAGTAGTTCGAAAAAAATAATCTAAACCCTAAACTCTTCATTCATACTTTTATGTTTGAAGACATAGTATTTTAACAACACTTGAAATTAAATATTTTTAATATGTTATTATTTTTTTTTGATAAATTCGATTTAATTTGGAAAGCATTTACAATATTTGCAATCTAAATTCACTATTCAATTAACCATCTAATGATCAAATGTTCATTTGATAGCTAAAACATTCGGAAAATCAGAAATAAAAAATTTGAAATATATTCAAATTAATGAAAAAAATAATTAAATTAAAGCTTATATTTCTATGGCTCTATATATTTATATAAATGAAAAATTCAATATTTTTAAAAAAATTTGAAAAAAATTCAAACCAAATATATGCGCATGTTGATAAGAAAGTTTTGAATTAAAAATCATACAATCACATGATAACAGAAAGAGTTAGTATTAAGAGTTAGAATTGTCTAGCCCTTACCTAAATCTGAAGAGTTGTCCCTACACTTCACATTCTCTAATACCACCTAAAAAGTGAAAAAATTAATCGATTTTTTAACATCCACATCTATTCTCAATATCGAGAAGAGCAGTTATGTTGGCCCCTGCTTCCTTCGACTACTACAACAAGCTTCTGAGATTAAAAATGAGAACAGACTAAATGATCCATGGAGTAAGCCATGGGAGCTTGCTTGGATGTTTTATCGAAAAATGCTAATCCGAATATCTGCACAAGCCTGAAATCTAACCGCAATGGTGATTAGATTATCAAAGGTAATTGAAGCTTAAAGAACTATGAAATATTTACAAGTGTCCTCTTATAGACTATGTGCAGGGTGTCTTAACTCATATTTCCTCTCGGTTACGGCATCCGTGTCAGGATGAGATCACGTTTTCCTGTCAGGTTTCCAAAGTCTTGCGTTTTCCCCTGGCAATGATCTCACGTCGGCTTAATGGGATGACTATCTCATCATGCTGACTCCATAAAATATATCTGCGAAGAGAAGATATAACCATCGGCTTCGCCTGTCGTATGATCTCGACTCCAGGTTGTTCTCCCCATATCTCTTCAAAATCCATCGAGTCCATTACATCCAAAATCTTTTTAACATCTCTTGGACTAGCTGGGATGTAGTTTCCATAGCTCTTCATAACGCTCACCGATCTTCGTCCCTGAACAATCTGCGAATGATTTTTCGTGATATCAGTCGACTTTAAAGAGCGATTGAATTTCTTTGATATGAAATCAAAAAATCAACAGGCCCCGACCTAACTTAAAGAAATCTTGAGCACGAGTAACACAGAGGCTTTGCACTCAATAGATCCACATGAGCTCTTGTTTACCTTCAGAGTATCGCTTGGGAAAACAACACCTCCTCTATATAAAAAATGAAGAATACAGCTTCCGGGATAATGTCCCCCAAGACAGTGGATAGTTACTCCATCCCAGAGCTTTATCATGTCACCAGTCCAAATTCTTTTGGCTCTTCTCAAATTTTTGAATCTTCTATATATTCTACGGTCACTGATATCACACGGAAACAACACAGCATGGTATTGTCAGATTCGGGAAGGATTTATGCAGCAAATCAATCTGAATACACCAAAAAGCTCATTCCTCTGACCGCCTGAGTTCAAATCGGATTGTAACGATGAATGAATCCAGATTGTACCTACTTTTCATGTACATAGACCGGACATCTGTTGAATATATAACTCAACCTCGCACAAGCTCCCATTTTCTCAGGACACGATAGAACAATAGCAGCAATACCCCCCACCTTCGCAATCTTGGACACGATTATCTCGTCAACAAAACTTACACAGTCCCAGAGTATGTTACCATCTGCAGCAAAACAGCGCATGGCAATGTCGATATTATGAGCATCACACCTTTTCAATGAAATATCCCACTATATCTTTGAAAACAAGCTACAGAACTACATACACATTGTTGAAAGAAGTCTGCTGCTAAATGAATGTGGTTCTCGTTCTATTGTAACGAATCTGCATTCCATCTATCGCAACGCGTTAAGTAGAAGTCTTCATGAGATGTCTATGAAATTTGAGTGTATAATATTGAGAAACAGTACGAGGTAGCCTGAGAAATATAGCTCCATCATTCTTGAACAATCTAGGCCATGTGGTGATCTGATAAGCTCTGCCGGGATCCAGTTCAACAAACTTATTTGTTACGTTCATCAGGATACAATCATGATGAGACAGCCACGTGAAGTTGAGTCTGGATAACAAGTTAGAACATATGTAAGTAACATACAAAAAAGAAATTGCATTGTGAGGTTCAATAAGAGATTTCATGATGAGGAGCATACGAGTACTAAGAGTTTGAACTATAAGGTGATCAGGAGAAAACTGCTGAGACTATCAAGGTTTCAAGGCATATCTGTAGAAGCATGTGCAAGCAAAGCGTATCGTAATTTTGCAGCTGACCTCATCTACTCACAGAAAACTCGAGATTTCTTTGGAAAAGAAATATTCCACAAGAAAATTCATGTTGTGGAGTAAACCCAAGGAAATTTGAGCGGAAGAGGTACTCAAGATGAGAATGGTACTAACACAGAACAAGTAAGTATACGACTCAAAATATGAAGCAAAAGCATCCTCCAAGATAGACCAATTATAACACACGAGGCTATACATCATACTTTTACTCGGAGTTTTTGCCTTAACTTTAGTTGGAGCATAAGCAAAAGAATTGAGTTGAAGGAGTACGCACATCGAAGAATTTCGACTCTCATCTGAACAGATCCGGCACGTGTATTCTTGTTTGTCAGTGTTGTGAAGAACGCCACACTCTTTACAAACACACAAAAACCTATTGTCAATCGAAAAGAAGAACCTCTCCTCCATTTTGGTTCTGCGTGAAGGGCGTTCAGGTTCTTGTCTCACGATACTCTTCTCGGATGGTCCAGGGGGTGTAGCTGGATGAGTCACTGTGGACTTTTCTTCTTCATGTTCCATGCAGCCCTCCGGTAGTTCTCTAACTTCTACCAGTTCTTTACTTACCGCTTTCTCTGACTTTTCTGATCCGATAGCAGCCTGTCCATGAGAATCAGCGGTGCTTTGTTCCTCAGCTTTACGCGCACTTGGACTGATCTGCTTCATTGATAGAGAAGAATCCAAATTCGAAGCTTCATTTACTGTATTTGAACTTATGAATGGCACTCCAATGTGTCCCTTCTGGTCCTTAGCAGAAGGTGCACAAATATCATCCTCAAGTGAATGCATTATCCCTCCATCAGAAGCTCTTTCTGCCTGATGAGTCTCAACAATCTCCTCTTCAGCAGGCTGCTTATTTTCTGCTCTGTTGTTTTCTTCACTTCCTGGAAATACATTTAGTGATCCAATCTTGTATAATCTACAAAGATCATTAAAGTCCAATTCTTCTCCTTTTTGTTCTCTGTCCTGCATCCACTTCTGAATGTCTTCCATGGCCAGAGGAAGATCCGCCTGAAGCGACGTTTTGGATCTCTCAGATGGTGGTTGTTCATGAAGTAAGGTTACTGCAGCACCCCCGGATACCTTGCCTATCTCTTGGAGTGGTTGTTCATGAAGTGAGGTTACTGCAGCACCCCCGCATACCTTGCCTATCTCTTGGAGTGGTTGTTCTTGGAGTGAGGTTACTGTGGGACCGCGAGATACCTTGGCTATCTCTTCTTCTATGACGTTCTCCATAGCATGATCCAATTCAGGTATGAGTTTCAGCATCGCTACATAACCTATTTTCGATGTCATTTCTGGTGCGGTGGTCGTAATTTCATGTCCATAAATTTCACCCATCTCTTGCCCCGTCTGTTCCAAGACCCTCATCGCCATTTGGAGACTTATTTCAAGATCGCCATCCTTTACAAACCGACACGCAAAATCTTCAGGACGCCTTGAGCTCGACGCTCCGTCGAATCTAGGCTCCAAGGGTCCAGCATCAAATATGGACTCAGCTGGTCCTGCATCAAATATGGACTCAGCTGGTCCTGCTAAGAAGAGACGGTACCTTTTTCCGGGTGATATAACTTCAAAATCTTGATCAGTGTCAGGGGTGGTCATCCCGGAGGAACGATCCGAGCTATCACATGGATCTCCAAAGTTATAAAGTAGCTCTTCCTCGTACTCCTCCGTACTCTCCATGAAAAACGCCCTTCAAATCGTCATCAACCAGAAAACACTCACGCAGTCCAACAAGCCTCTGAGTGCCTGTGGTAATAATTACGACTCATTCCCTTCCGATCCTCTTTCACAGGCTGGTTTATCCACCTCGATTACACTCACCTCTCTGCAGTAAACCATCATCTCGACTGAAGTCGAGGTAGCCGAGCCCGCGAGGAAAAGGATTTGGACCTCTCCTTACATCTCTTTAACTTGCCATCCAAACCAACGGGACAAAGAACTGTCAACTCCACCGCACTGTCTGTCCCAAAGTTAGAGTCTTCAGACCTAAGAGTGAGGAGTAGATAGATGTTAAACTTTGTTCCTTCTACATCACCATCACCTTCGCCGGCCGCCGTAGAGCTGTGCCCCCGTCTCAAATCAGTCCACTCGGGATGTCCACACCGGCGTCCAGAACAAAGCTGGCAACGGATATGCGGCCGACGCCAACGGAGTTCGTCTAAGGTTTAGACGAACTCCGTTGGACAATTAGACTCTAAACGTCGAAGAAGGTACGGATGCACCACTCTCTGATTCAAACTTAAAATAGCGAGGATTTGCACCGAACATATCCAAGTGTCATGACTGAAGACCAGATTCGGTTTCACTCACTGCATGTTGATCGGTTACGTTACACTACAACGATAACATTTTCCTTGTTGCTATTTTGATTCTTGTACTTGGATTGATCATTGTTGGATTGATACTTGTACTCAAATTGATCACTGTTATTAACTTTGCCCTGTTTTCCGTATTGTTGTTAGATCTATACTTGATTTTATGTGAGAAACTAATAGTATGGAGGTGATGATGAATCTCAGTTGTAGATTAGAGGGAATGGAGGAGGTATCCTTCAAAGAAGCACAAAGACAGCCGCCACGACCGGTCAGTTGTCTCCGGCCAAGGAGAGCGCGCTGTTTCAAGTTTTCCAGAAATTTGAGCGGTTCTCCCAGAAACTCAGGGGAACCAACTAGTGGCCATGGCTCGAATATCGAATGCTATTCTAGTTTCTGGGTGAATTTCTGATTTAGGTGAAGCAGCACATGAACTTTCAGGAAGTGAGAGGGAGCCGGGCTTTATTGAACTACATATTTTATATATAAAAGTATACGTGAATCTAATATTTTCTCCTAAGACTTACTCCTCAAATACCTTTGAGACGACAGAGAAAATTCCACTTTGAGAGTAAGTGGGCATAAGTAACAAGAAATGGCGAAGAAAAGCCGAGCCAAGTGCATTCCAAGGCACTACACTAGAGATGCTGAAAACGGCGCAATCTGCGAAGTCTAAAAAAGGAACTACTTCTTCGTCTTTGTCAGAATTTGTATATGAAATGACCTCACGAAGTCCCCAACTTATGGATGAGAATGAGTGACATATAAAATCAATCGTGAGCCGATAGAGACCATGAGCTGCATTTCGAAGAAAGGGGACCACACTTCAAGCAAAGCGCCCAAGTTATATTACACTAATATATGGCAACTGTCCATAATTCTGTCCGCCAGGTTTTGATCAATTAAAAATATCAGCTCGAAGTTCTTTCAGAATATAACTGTACGACTATTCAGGCTCACGACGGAATCTCATGTGAATTGAGCTGAACCCAGATCCTTATGTGCTGCGAATGTTGGACTAGCATATAAACTTTAAGTCTGACTAGAAAAAAAATATCTTACTTTCGTGACTATTTTAACGAATGTATGAGCATCTATGGCTAACAAAACAAGAAATCTGGACTCTAAAGTCCAGCCTTGATATGGCAACACATTTTCGGAAAATCATATTCGATTTTTGAAAGTGGATTCATAGTAGAATGTGTCTCAGTGGATAACAAAAAAGGTGTAAAAATACCATCAAACTATACGAGGATGAAACCCAACAAGTATTCAGGTATCATAATTCACTAGTATTGCAATGCAAATTTATTTTATACCAATTATATAGATGATGTAGTTTCATCTAACGTGATTGCTTTCTTATTTATAGGACTAGTTAGTTCTTCATGTAAGAAAGAGCACTAATTAATGTTCATTGAAGAGAAATAGAAAAGCAATGTCTACATTAAGCTACACAACGGACAATAGGCTAGAGAGAGTAACATGTTTGACAGATGCAAATAGGTGTTGTTTCTACATACTTTCATTCTTGGTAAGGAGCTACTCTACTTGTTGTTTATTTATGAAGGTATGTAATATATCTTCTTAAAACTCTCTCGCGTGTAAGATATGTAGCTATCATGTATGAAACCGTACTTAATTTTTTCCAAACTAAGTATTGAATGTTAGTATATGTAACATAAAGCCATGTTTTCCATTGGAGAAATTTATCTTCATCAATAAAAAAAAATTAGCTGAAGTCAAAGTTATCAACCTCCATAATCTACTTCAAACTGTCACGGACGGAACAATGAGAGTGTGAAGGTGAAATATACAGTAACCAACTTATTTTGACTTTTTCCAATTTCGGAGTGGTGCCAACTTTCCAACTTTTGACTTTCCAGTAGCGTACTAGCAATATACATAGAGAGTATATGCACATGGTCCCTCACTATCATCAACATCAATTGTATTCATTCTTCCAGTATCAATATTACTTTCAATTTTTTCTCTTTGATTCCATAATCCATGCAAATTGACACTTTGAAAATTAATCAAAGAAGAGTAAGAGCAACGGTCACAAGAAGCACTTGTGTGGAGTGTCAAGTATCACAACCTAAACAACTGCCTTTTGAAACCTGAGGGGCCATAACATAAACATAGATTTTAACATAAAAGTTAAAATCTTGTCAAAGACTTTAGTAGTTTTTATTTGTTTTTTCTAAAAATCTTATAAAACGTTATACCTCTATATAGATCATAAAAAAATAATTTGATCGTAAAAATTATTGAAAATAGGCTTTAATTTTCAAAAAATGTCACTCACAAAACAAAATCCTCAGACAGTAATTTAAATAGTCACCAAGGTATTATTGTATTCAGTATCATCAGTTATTTTTTCTTGTCTTATGTCTCTCTTGGTTCAAGATACTAAATCAAAATATAGATTGGAAAAAGCAAAAGTTAACATATTGAACAATAGTTTTTCATATTTTGTCTAAATTTTTTTAGAATTATTTCAAACAAGTTTCTTTGTCAAATTTAATAGTTCAAAGTCAAAGTTATGTTGATGATTAGTGCACGAGGCTTTATGAAGGCTGTCAAGAATGGAAATATTTTTGCAATTTATGCATTTTGATCATTTCAGCTTGTTAAAAAACCATGGAAGTTATCAAGTGCACAATTTTACTTTGATCCAATGTACAATCTATACTAAAACATGTTTGCTGCATTGCGAGATTAACTTGATGCAAATCTTGCAAAAAACTTTCTTTGACATTTTAAAATCAACTGCTGGAGTTTCTATCTTATATTTCAAAAAGAAAGATTGTTCTCTTTGAATTTGCATGACTATTGTGAACTATATAAAATCCCAATCAAGAATTGATATTCATTTTCATTTATTTCAATACTTGTTTATCAACTCGGTCAAGCAAAGATTAATCTTTGTGTAGTGTACAATCTAGTGTGTATCAAGGAAGGTAATGAAACATGGCGTTTGGAACTACATATGGATATTTTGAATACAATGTCATGTCTTTTAATCTTCTCAATGCACTTGACATCATCCAACACTTGATGAACAACGTATACCTAGAATTTCTAGTCATTTTTGTTGTATGTTATCAAGTCGATATGTTGGTTTTCTTCCAAAATAAAAAAGATCACCTCAACCATGTCCTACTAGTATTGTTAGAGATGCAGACTGCTGATCTGTACGCCAAGCTGAAAAATTTGCATTAATTTCAAGTTAAATTGTTGGACAATATCATTTCTGCACAAAGTCTATGTATGAACCAAAAGAAAATTCAAACAAACATTGACTGGAAAAAACTTGCTATAATTTGAGATGTAAAATAATTCCTCAGTTTTGCAAACTTCTATCAAATTTTTTCCCAAAACCATTCCAAGATCTAATCAGAATGATTTGCAAAGACAAGCTCAAATGAAATGCAAAAAAATAACTAGCATTTTAAATTCTGAAGAATATGTTTACGACGATGTTTATTCTGATGCATCCATACTTCCAGAAGTTGTTGGTACTTCTGATTTTGTACTCAGATTAACACTTTCAAACCCCTACAAAGAGTAATGTCTCTATCCTATAGCGTTTCACTTGCAAAAATTTACTGCTGCCTAGATCAATTATCAAATCCATGACAAAGAGCTATTAAATCATTCTTGATTTAATCCAAGAGTGACGTCATATTTATTAATAAATTCAATATCCAATCACGATCTACACAGATCGCAAGTACCTTGAGATTTTCATGTATACAAAGCTACTAAACTGATTACAAGCTAGTTGGAATATATTGCTTTTGTGTTTCAATTTTGTCATCACGTATTGTTTTGATTCATAGCAAATTTGATCTGACGCTCTATCTTGACAAGCATATCTTGCATCCAAAAAAGTAGATGCAGCATACGATCAGTAGAAGACTACCCTTATCAAGCCTTAGCAAATTCAGTTGAAGATAGTACGCAAAACAAGTTTGATGGATGTAGTTTTGTTTCAAGATATGCGAGTAAGTTTGAAATCCGATATTTTGGCCTTGAAATTGGAAAATATAAGTATCTCCAATTTCCAGAAAATTTCAACATGGATGTTACAGATTTGAAATGCTTGAATCAAATTACTTATAATTTACAAATATTTTAATTGCATTATGCTAATTCAAGATTCCAACTCTAAGACGTTATATTACTAGGATTATTTTTATGTCCCTAAAAATCCATGTGGTATCCAAGTGCTATAGTCTCGACTCAATACTCCATTGGCGGAACACTTTGGCTACAACAAGACCGGTCTTTAACTCAGTCGTTTTAAACACCAGCTAAATCGTACCCATCCATTCCTCCAAGCCCCTACCCATTACCCACCCATTGTGCCATGGATATGGATGGGTATTGGGTAGCCATTGCATGACTCTGGCCTAGATTATGGTACTGTATGTTAGAAGACCGAATTGAATAAAATAAAACATGCAAACAAGGATGTGATGAAAGAAAAAGTCTACCAATAATTCGATCTCTTACTAATACCCTAATGAAAACAAAAATTGCAGGAGTGAAATGATAAAAGATTGATCACTACGCTCATTTCATTGAGCATTTGTGAGAACAACAAGTGGATAACTATCCAAAAGGAGGATACTATCCAAACCTACATGATGTAAGGGTACAGACCTAAACCCAATGGTGTAACATAATGCGAAATCACGGGCTAGGTTCCTACAGTATTCATACTAGATATATAGGAACCACTTCCACTGCATTGAATGTTCTAGAGCACCCTAACAACTGCTCATTATTTCCAAAACTGAGATTTTTTCATTATCTGGACATTGTTTGAAAAGATATCATACAGTTAACATTTTCGAGGAAGTAGGATGGGCCTAATCCACTCATCCCTTGATGGATCTTCCCATTTTTTTTGCCATATCACTAGCTTTGATTTCAGGTAACTTCTCCTATCATTCTTCGACCTCGTTCCAACATTTTACCATCAGTCAAGATACTCTATGCTGTTCTCTTCTTTTCAAATGTATCTTTTCCTTGGGTTCATCTATGGTCTTTGGCGTCTCAATGCATGGGCTCATCGCGTTATGACACACCGAATAGTTTGAAGATGGACCGATGTAAATGACCGTTAAGAATCTCAGTGGCTTACAGGTGAAGCTAGTTTATTAGAATCTTATCAAGGAAGTGACGTGTATCAGGAACACTGTGCAGATGCTTGACCTCTTACCATCCGACACAAGAATCCACTGAAAAATTTGACCTGAACTCGATCTCTCGTCCTAATCGGTGCCTGACGAATACTTAGGGCATACAGCATAAGTTTCTTAGCAGTCCTGAGCACCAGTAATACATCCCAAAGGTTACTGATTCTGTCTCACCCAATTCTGTGATTCTGTCTCACCTGTATTAACCACCTAGACGACCTTCATAATGAATATGGTGTTTCCTGTAATATGAAAGGACAGATGTCACAACTGAATAGTACATATGAGACAAAACGTAGTAATTGGACCGTAATGTCAATGAAAATGCCCAGTTATTATTCTTAGGTTAGTTTTCTCAGTTTCTATACAGATTGACATTGAACGTCCTCCTTAATTTTGCTCTACTGCAGTTAGCACTTACGGAATCCCTGGAATCAAGCTGCTCCACATGTGGTGATCCCCAAATACTTTGACTTAGGTTCAATGGAGTTCCATTTCATTCTTCTTCCAATAATTTGGGTCAAACAAAACAAATTGATCTCTTTTAGTTTCATCGGCTTCATGGAGTGCACATATTTCTTTGTCCTAAGATAGCTGAGGAAAATTAAGGTCAAGTTGCCGGGCAAGAAGGATAGCAAAAAGGATGGATCCAATATCATTTTATGGAGCTAAAGGTATATTACAGAGACTACGACCCAGTAGAGTCACAATGGAATTTAAGTAATCAGACCTTAGAAATCGAGATCATCTAGATCAAATTGCGTACAATATATTACTTGAAAAGCCTAAAATTCACCATCTACTGTGATTGCTTTTCACACTAAACTCTTCAATACAGCTGGTGATATTTATAAAGCCTTTGATAAAGGAGGTCTCAAGTGAGCTACATACAAAATAGAAGGTGATATGTCTTAAGTTAGTGTAAAACTTTTGCCACACTCTAAAAAATGTTTCAAGGTGGGTGTCTATCGCTCCATATATAGCTAGATTAACAATATATAGCTAGATTAACAAGAGTTGAAATATTTGGATACCTTGGCTCCACTCCCAAATCATGGAGGAGTATGGTTACTCAGTCCCTACTTGTCCATGTAGACGTGAGAAAATAGTTTAGGAGCTGATTGAACTGGGATGGGTGTTGACGTTACGAAACTCCGAATTATCGTGAAAATTGTTTTTGCTTTCTTTTATCTCCACTATGCTCTTCGGAAGGATTAAACGTCAAATTTTAGAAATCAGTTATTGAGGACGTATAATACACCAAGTTGCTTCAAACGACCTGACCCACCAAGAGAATATGACCGCCGTGCCTCAAGTTTCCCGCGTTGCCTCGGTGAGGATTTCACCCTGCGGCACACAGCATTACGGCACATCATAGCCCGATTAAGGTCGGAAAGGCAAATGTGATACATATTCTGATGCATTGTTTGCCTCATCAACCACGTCAGAGTGGCGCCTTCGCAGTTGGCGCGGGAGTTTGTCTTGAAAAAACCGACGGTACTTGGCAGCTCATTTTGTCACGACAGCGGCGAGACAGTTGTGTCATTCATTTTGCATATTAGAGTTTGAACGGGAACTGTGTCGTGGGAAGTGATGAGATTTCTCCAGGTGCCTAGAGGTAGACGGAGAAGTGAAATGGAATCGATTCGAAATTTTCGTCGCACGGGTTTTCCCGAGGAGAGTTCGAGCTTCTGAATGAAGTCGAGCTTTTCTCTTACCTGCACTCCATGGCGAGCGAAAGCTCGAATCGCAGTGAGCAGTTATGGATTCCTCTGCCTACACTGCCGCGAATATCTGTCGTATCCAGCTCGCGCGCTCGATTGGCACACCGCAGACCGATTTCAATTTCACTGCCTGTCAAAGCGCCGAGCTCATCTCCTCAGTTGGGTGGAGAGAGCTCCGATGTCTTGAATCCTTCCCAACAACAATTTCCTTTCGCACGCCCCGCCGAAGTCAGTCAAGTTGTCCCTCTCATTGCTTCTCTGCCTGCCTCTGTCTCGATTTCTGAGAATCGTTTAGGTTCAGTAGATTCTGCAAGAGGTTTTCTAAAAAACTGTGAGCGGTCCGATCCATTGGCCGCATTTTCGGCTGGCGGATCTCCTTTGGAAAATACTGAGGATACGTCAGTCTCATCAGTCCTTGACGATAATACTGGCAATGACTGCTTAGATGGTAACACTGGGCTAGTCCCTTCTAGTGAGACTGGATCAGCTAAACTCTGCGACGTTTCCAGTATAAAATCTCAGGAGGAGCCGTCGGAGGGTCTCTCTTCTTCTTGTGCTTTTGTGGTGGATTCCGTTATTCAAAAGCAGCAAGGAACGAGCGTGCAGGAACTGTTGCTAATTGAGTCCAACGCTCTGATAGATTGTGGAGAGGCTGGAAATTTTATTCAGTGTTACGATCCACTACTGCCCTGTGCTGATCAAGCTGCACGCTGTGAAGACATTGCATCATCGGTGCAGAATTCGACGCTGGACGTGGAGGTAGCTGAATTGAATAATAAAATAGGGCTCAATTCTGAAGAAAGCGAACCTGAGGAAGGCCAGCTTCCAGGGGAATGGAGTGGAAGTGATGACTCGGTAGAACATAGAAGTCCGAATTGTGATGTAAATGAAAATTATAGCACTATCTCTCTCGCTGGAGAAGAAGATTTTGCAGCTCCGCTAGTGGCAGTGTGTACGCAGACACAGTTTCGATCCGAAGAAAATTCTTCTCTTCCTGGCTCTTTAAATTCAGGATACACAGCACTACCGAGCAGAATGACAGAAACGGCCAAGAAGAAGAAGAAGAAGAAACACAAGAAAGGGGAAGGATCTAAGAAAAGAGCTAGAGAAAAATCAAGTCAAAAGTATAAAGAGTTGAAAAGCAAGAAGCTCAAATCCATTGCTGGTGAGCACCTAGGTAAGTCTCTGGTCGAAAGACTCGGACAGAGTGAGAACCCTGATTTGCAGAACGTAAAGAGGGACAGTGCAGAAACTGAAAATCAAGAGTCCAAGACTCAGAAAAGTAGCAGCTCAAGGGACGTGCTCGAAGAAGGCGAAATTTCTGAGGTGACAACATGTTTTTTATTGTCGAATTTACACTCAATGATGATTCTAATCTTCGTATCTTTTCTTCAATAAATTTTCGTGCTCATGAGTTCCTTGTGAGTTTCACGGCTGCATATTTAATGTACATCTGCTCCCTGTGATATTGATTGGACACAGCACACCTTTAATATGGTCGCCAGATCAGTTTGTAACTAAGCTGATCAGTGAGTCCTTGAAAGTGTTCCGCAGACACGCCCTCATGTTTCTTTCAGGGATCTCTTACAAAAGTTTCTGATTTGTACAGCCCACCCAGATCAGCAATGGCATACTGTTTTCTCTTGTTGAAGATGAAGTAGGTCTGTGGACTACAGATGATATCGACGATCAGTTGGTTGCTCAGGTGCAATTCTACCTCTTCTTCTAGAGTGCTAAAACTCCAGGAGTATTTTGTGCTCAGGTTAGTTTTGATGAAGACTATTCATCATTTCCTTTCTTAGCATCAGGAGATACCCAACGTCGTCTTCTCTGAAAATTGAGTCGTGAGACCAAGCAAAGGCATATGGAAACGCAAAAGCTGTATAATTTCCACAAATGTTAAGGTGGTCGTTAGAACCGAACAGCACTTATAAGGGCTTAATTACTTACGACTTCTGTTGTAGATGTGGCAAAAAGATAGTATGTTACCTGATGTCGAAGCTGATCTAAGTATCAATGAATTTACAAGCAGCCAAAATGTTGTGATTCCAGTAAAAATGTCAAATGGCCTTACTTTCCTGATAGAGTTTTGCCTTGGTGATTTCTCGTCGTTCTGAAGACTCTGTCCTGTTTTCTATGATGAATAGATGGAAGAAGATGGTGCTGTGAAGAAAAAACGTGGACCAGAAACTGCTGAGCGAATGCTGAAGAGAAAGGTAAACTCCAATCACGAAAATTTCACTCACGTTTTTTATAACTCATAAGCGTTTTTCTTATGTCCTGGAGCTCCCTGAAACTATTTTAAGCCTGCGTCTCAGATTTAAGAATCAGGCAACGTGTATACTGTTAGTATTAGTTCTAGCGGGTATCAGATGCCAGACATGATTGGATTATGAACAGTCTTTACTCCACTAAAGTTCATTATGCTGTAATTGAATGAAGGTTTCGAACCACTACACATATACAGTGAGCTGCTGCTTTTCTGTGTCGGTTCTCAATGGACCAGCTAGTTACTATCTTCACGTTTTTTGTTGTTTCCTTGGATTGTAGGTCCTTATTAGTAAGGCCAGCTTACATATGTTCTCGTATGTATCATAGAAGTGTACAGTCAGCTCGGCCTCGCTACTGATCTTCAGGACTTGAGTTGTCTGTTCCTTGTACTGAATGCCTGCCTTTCCTCAACAGTGCTGGTCTTAATGCGATGAATGTGATGTAGTTCATAATCGATGTGTTCTTTGCCAGATTGCAAAGCGCAAGAAACGAGCGCAGAAAGAAAGAGAATTAGGAATTAGGCGACCCCCACGGAATTACGTGAGCAAGCCTGTAAAAGTGCTTTGCACACACTTTATGAAGGGGCGATGTGCAAAGGTTTTAAACTACCCTTTTCCTTGCATCCTCTCTTCTCGGTCTTCTGTATCAGATCTCTGCTGGCGGCATCATTCAAATAGGGTAGATTGTCCCTGAACATTGTCGAGAGGCTGTGGCTATAAACCATGAGTAGAACCATCCTCCGGTCTGTAATTTAGTCCTCCAGCATGTAAGCGCAAGATGGCTCATAAACCAAAGATCTAAACAAAAGCAAGGTATTATCGATGAATGATTGCACGCATCTTCTTACTTTCATCTTTCGTACAGTATTACTAGCCTAGCTTGTGAACGTCTTGATATATATCATACCGTGCGACATCAGGATTCGAATCAGTGAGCATGGTCATGTTTCCCAGCTCGCGCCTGTTTCTGCGTACCATCTAGTAAAAAAGGCACTCAGGATGCCTAAAAGATTTTATTTGTAAACTTTAGATGGCATCGTACGGGAGAAATGTAGGCTCAGTTTTGACTTCTCTCTGTACGTGAATGCAGGGTGAGAACTGCACGTTTTCACACGATGGGGTACCATTGACAAAGCAAGAGGTTTGCGTTCCTACTTTTGTTCTCCTTGAGTTCGGATATCGATTGTATACCCTTTTTTTGCGTTAAAATATGAGACGTTCTGAACACGGAAGATTAGCTATATGGAGACTGCACGTTTAAGTACCGGTACAAGTTGGATCAATCGCTCTGCGTTGTGAAACGTCTACCAAGATTCTGTTGTTGGCAAGGGACTAACGCAGATTTGACTTCGTCTTTTGTCGTCGTCTCCCCGCCATATGCAGTCTTGGAACCACTTTCCTTGTGCTTGCTGAGAATCTGCTGTTGATAAAGATTCAGAGGAAGACACGGTTCAAACACATACTGTGATAACTCTTATTGTGGAAAGAGGAGGAAATAGAACAGCAAATTAAAATAAGAAAGCCTGTAAAACAGTCTATTGCAGTGATTGTTGAGATGAGAGATGAAAATCGTAAATCCACGCAGATATCTGTTGTGTTTACGACAAGCATAACCCTTCCTTCGTCCCTTCATTGTATCTTTACTTGATTGGACTCGAGCGCATGTCGACCCATAACTTTCTTCCTTGGTAGTAGCGTAGGAATTAGTTATTTACTACCTACTTAGCTTGACTCTTAAAAACCTGGTTACTCATGCAAGTTTGTTTATTTGGCTCATTAAAATTTTACAACAAATGCTTCGCTCTACAGGCTGATTGGTTTACTAGATGTCAGCTTCATTTTGACTTTGAAAGGAGAAAGCTTTTACTTCTGAACTCATTAATCTCTTTATTGTCATGCAGCCCTGTAAATTTTTAATGAGTCACTCATGCCTTAAAGGAGACGATTGTCCCTATTCTCACGACCTCAAGGCTTTTCCTTGCAAATTTTTTCATACGCGAGGCTTATGCTATGACGGGGACAGCTGTCTTTTCTCTCATGGGGTATGTTTTCCACGCTTGTTGCCAATTTGTACATTCCTAAAATTTAACGGCAAGAGGAGATTTTTTATTTGAAATGGCTTTGATCAGTATGTACATGAAGCTACTTGCATTGAAGATGATTGCACTCCCTGCAAAATAAACTATCTAGTGTTCAACTTTTTGAAGTATTTTTAATACTGCTTCGATATCAATCGATCTTAGTGTAAGTCGTTCAGGCTCAGCCATATTTTGAAGGTTCAAGTGCTAACGGGACGAACTCCTGTTCCATCAACGTATGGTCATTTGTTCTGATTGTTTCCTGACTCGTGCTTTGAAACAGCCGATAAGTGAAGAAGCACGCGAGAAGATACTCAAGCGTGTTGAGAAGGAAAAGAAGGAACGTGCCAGTAATGGCTGTGGACTTGAAATACCGACACCTTTATTTTCATCTCCTTTGCCTGCAGAGGATGATCCTGATCCTTTAGGGTGGGGAACCTCAAACTCATGCCCTAGTTTCGACGTGGATTTACCGCAAGGAAGACCAGGAATAATTGAACTATCACGTGACTACATTGGTGAAGCTGGATGCGGGGATCTTGTTGAGAATAGCCATCATGCTTACAGCAACTTGGAGACTTCATCTTACCCGGGAGTAAATTTCGCACAAGATATCTCTCTTTATGATTCTCATCTTCCTGGTAAGGACAACAGAGATGAAAAGCTCGATTATGTAGGTGAGAAATGCAGTAGCTCGCAGCAGACCACATTCTCAACCGCTACTCTTGATGCAGCCGAGACGGATCTAACTTCATCCAGGGAAGTTTCTGCGCTGAATACAGCAGGACCTCTGTTTCCGTTTCAGAGGGGATGTGTGTTTGAAAATGGAGTTCTCGAGCATAAGAAGTCAGTTCCAAGTTTGACGCAAACCACAGAAAGTAGAAAGCTTACCATAGAGAATCTCTTGGGTGAAGTTTTGAGACACTGAATACAATATTTCATAATTTTGTACATCATTTTACATCAAGTGCCGATTTTGGATAACATTAGTTTAACTTTCGTATTGCTTATCACTATTATTCTTGTTTCTGTATCTTGCATCTATTTAAGTGTTTTTGGATCGCAGACCGTTTATCGCCGTATGTAATATTCTTCGACTTTGTCTTCGTTCTTCCTTTATTATCAGCACAGTACAGTGCTTTGCCTCCCCGTCCTACTGCTCGTTTACTTCTTTCGTTCACAGCGGTCTAATAGATATATAGATATTTTGGTCTTATTGGTATTCACATTACCAGCCACTTGTCTGTCCTCTACCTTTGTTACTAAGGATGTACTTCCCTCTTAAGATTGCTTCTAAATATCAGTGTATTAATGTTAGCTCACCATAATTTTTTTCTTCGTCGTCCTACCCCCTTCTAAGTTCCTCTCAGATTCACGTAAAGTTTGTCATGCCCAACTGCAGAGACGTAACATGTTTTTCAGAAACAATCAATTGGTTGTGTTACGCCTTCCTTGTGTGTTTAGGAGAAGACTGTGTAGATCACTGTATTTGTATGTCTCTATTATGTACACCGTACGAAGTAACTCACGTACTTTATAATCGCTTTGGTGTCTTCCATAAGAACTCAAAAGCTCTCGAAGACCATAGTACTGATTATAACATCCATTTAACATCTTACAACAAGTAAGCGAATTTTTCGTTCTTTTTTGGGCAAGACAGAAACAGGGAACATGCAAATTCTGATCAGCATTGGTGTGTAGGTTCGAATGAGACTCAGTCTCTCTTGGTAGACGTGTATGTAACTCCTCAGGTAAAGTCGTTCTTCATGTCAGCAAGAGAACTGGAGTGCGACTTCACTACAATCAGCAACACTCAGCACGTTTAGTTGGCATCAGTACTTTCAAACTCCAGGTAACAATTCCTCCATTTATTCGGAAGTACAGGCCCAGTTACTATCAAAAGTTGTCAACACAAAGCTGCTGTACCAAGATGGCTCTCAAGGCTACAGCAGTGGCTAAGAATCACGAAGAAACCTCTGGTACACCAGCACTTCTCAGGCAAGAGTCTGCTTTGTTTGGTTGTCTTCACAAAACTTTTACAGTTGCAATCGAAATTGCAATATTGTACAGCCTTCCCTCACTCGGACCCGAAGGGAAAATGGTGAGATAAAACGTTCGGTTGCTCTATGGCTCTGTACATGTCCTCCGGGTCACGATCAGTGTAGAAACCACTTTCTTGGGCTCGAGCAGTATGTGTGTCACAGTTTCAGCGCTTACCAGTCAAGATCTACTTCAAGCCTGTCGGTTTCAAACAAAATTTACCTGGTCTCACCAGCAGACCCCACAATCCAATGGAAGAGCACTACGTGCAGTGAAGAGATGACCTTCAATTGATGTTAAACCTTCTCATGACCTTGGTCTCGAGTAGAGTTGACACGTGCTCAGGAATGTGAATGGGAATGGCTGTACGGAGCGCAACTCGCCCACAAGGACTGCGTGAAGGCACCCAATAACCCACGAAGCCTCTGTCTCACGCACAACGCCGGGTCAAGAAAATGTACTGACTTACGTTCAAGTCACCTTTGCTTTGAGCTCCCGTAAAGTGTACGGGTCCAATCGCCATTCGTTTTCGTTTGTTACCAATTACCGCCAAGTAACCGGCACAGGCGATTACCACGTTCCGCCGTTCTGGTACGCATCTCAGAGGGTGACATGGCGGTACAGCCGGAGAGCGGTGGCTTGGTCTTGAAGCTTCGGGCTGGTCCGGCTTTTTTGGGCTGCCCGTCGGTTGGTAAACAGTCCTTGTCGGGAGGAATGGTGGACGGAGAACCAGTGCCGCAGTCACTTTTCGGTAGTTGGTTTTGTCGGAGCGGGTCGACCTAAACCGAGCGGGCCACTGGACCCGCGCTGAGTAACGTGGTAAAGTATCACGTGAGACTGGTGTGAGGTCAATCTCCTGAGTCTTGTCTTGACTATAGTAACGCTATGTGCATCATGTGTTACGTAATGGATGTGCATGAAGCGCTCTGTACGTTGTTTTCCACCTGACACGTGGCATGTGTATCAGAACCACCTTCCTTTTCTAGTCCATCTGCGTTAGCTCTACGAGGTATCTGCTTTGGAGGGTCATGATTTCGTAAACTGTAGTCCATATGATGGACACCCTCTGGTTTCGATGCCTTATGCCGAGATTGAGAATGCAAGCAATTTGTGATCTTGAACTCTATGATTACCTCAATGTAAGTGAGTTGTCAATAAACAATTTGGTCACTTAGTGGTGTACTTCGTGGTTGGTTTTAAGGGGCACATCCAACGCACAACGTTGATTTTCGCTCTAAAGTCTAAATGCTGGTTCTTGGTGATCGAGTTGCCTGTAGCTTTCCTGATGAATGCGAGGGATTGTAATCGTCTTTGCCAGACAACAATATGGTCTTGTAACGGGGAGTGAACATGACACTTGATTCCAATCTGGTAAGTGGTTCAAGCCCTTGGGAGTTTAGGTGCACAACGTTTTTCCAGAACACTGAAGTTTGAGTACACTATAAAGGAATTGAAAAAAATAACAATTGTTGAGGAATGTTCCAAATTATCTCTTTTTATTTATATATTTTTATATAATGATAAATGGCGAAAAATCTTGTGAGGGCAAGGAACTCCTCGTTCTAGTACTCCTACATTTCTTAATTATCGGTGATCAATGTTAAGTTTGGTGATAAAGATGAAAGGTTTATGACTAGTTTCCCCAATATTCAAGGTAAGGCATTTTAAATAAATTCTCAATTTAAAATATATTTATAGTGTCAATGGACTATAGCGCACATATATATAAACCAATTACTTTATGCAATAGCTATATATGTTAATCTTTTGTTTCAACGTCAAAGAAGTTAATCTTAAATCACGGAACTATAAAGATAATACAGTGGTTGAACATCAATCTTCACAGTACGGTAATTTAAAAGCAAATTTCACTTTGAGAACTCTTCACCACGTCCCATCCTCGCAATAAACTTGAATAAAACTCATGTTTTTTATTTCTTTTGCATATGTTTTGTTCCTCGCCCCCGCAGGACTATATAGTTACTGGACTAGTATTGTTGGAAGCATGAATGAGAAGTGCCAGGTGGATGGAAAAATGTTTTGACGTAGGAATCTGATTGCTTCTCTCACCGAGTTTGTGTTTACGAGATAAGTATCGATATCTTTTAATAACATGAACAGTTTTCCTTTTATGACATTATTGGAATATTGGATTTTCAACGGAATGTATGATGGACAAGCGATATGACTAGACCTCGTCCCGACTAGTGGTGTCATGGTCTGAGAACGTGTCGTTCGCAATTAAGACAGAACCGTCAACTCTCTGCTTCGTATTAGGTCATTTTCTTCGAGGTATGTGCACCTCCTACTCCAGCATCATACAACAAAGACCGCTAATTATGATCGATAACTAAGTTCAGTCAATTCGATGCTCTTGAATATTGGTTAGATATATATATTCATATCTTCCTTAAATGATTAGAATTGAATAATTTTAGCAATACATTTTATCATTTTTTTCATGAATAGAATGTTAGTCTCTACTCACGAAATGTATTAAACTTTCAAATATTGACATCTCTCAGTTGAGCTGATTTCTATAGTTTTATTTAAAAACTTCAGATGCCACCAGTTCTTAGAGACAAAATATTAAAATATAAATTTGAAAGACTTGAGTCATCATTAGTGCAAAATTGCACCGAGAGACAAATTTATCGAGGATAGATGGTTGTTGAATACAGGACATTCATCTCGGGTACTACACCAACAGCACAGAATGCAGAACACCAAGAGAATAATCCAAGGGACTATGAGCGAAGAAGTTATAGATTTTGAAATAGAAGGTTAGGTGCAGCACGCAATATTTTCCATTTTGATGCTATTGGTACCTGGGCGCATCTACCACTTTGGTTTCAGCATGGAAAGACTTTATGGGTCTTCCCATATTTTTTCCTCTATTACTCATCTTCTCCCCATTTTGTTTTTGCTTAAAACCTCTGTTGATATGTTCTGGAATAATCTTGTATGTGACGAACATGTTCGAAACTAACTTAATGTTCTTTTCTAAAAGTCAAAACAGTCATAGTATTTCTTTCCTCTCGGAAGGAGCAGAGAAAGCAGGAGCTATTCTATACTGAAAATCAAATGGGACGTTTATTTTTTGATTAATTTTACTTTGTTTGACTGTCGCAACAAATAAGTCAAAAATGAACTGTCAACCCAAAGTCTGTCGTAAAAAAAAGAACAAACCGAAAACCCTTACACTGTTAAGTCTCCTGATTCATTCAATGTTGCCTTCGTGTGTCCACAGTCGCCTAAATTACTCGTTGGCACAGTAAAGTGTACTCAGCTCATCTGCCACGTCTGGTCGTACCGGACAGAGTAGCAAAGAACTTGTTAGTGAATCTACTCCGAAAGTATCCTATCAACAGCCTCGCTCTAAATCTACACAACTGGTCCGCCAGTTTGAGCCCCCATGTGGAGGAGACAGTAACTTGGGACAAAACAGACTGGGACGCTATTTTTTTTTGGCGCCCAAGTGAGCGTCAGGTAGGCTGGGCCAATAACTTGCATCCGTATCCTGTAACCTCTTATCGTCGGAGTGAATTTACTGATCTTTCGGATGAGGCCGCGACCCGGACCCTCGCCGTTTTGTGTCAAGGGCAATCAATCAGTGGACAACGATACCTTGTAAAGAGAAAGACTCGTCGCATACGCAACAGAAAGGTCATAAGTATGGAAGTGCGGGCGGGCCATGACATGCAAGTGAAGTCTTCATTGCCAGGTCCGACGAGCCTCCGGATCTTCGACGGATGAAGTTAGGTGATCTGCCCTCTTCTATCCTCACATGAGCACGAACCACGTTGGTCGGATGGCAGCAGACGTTGAGACGCAAGTGGGCTGCAGTGCATTTGAGTTGCGGTTACAGACGGACGGGTAGGCGGAGAGACGCAAGTGGGGGCGGAGCACTTGAGTTGCTTGAATTGACGGAGACGGAGAGTCGCAAGTGACAGTCGCCACCTGGGTTGCGGTTATGGACGTAACGCCGGATTATCCGCTAGGGGAAACCGGGGGAAGGCCCGGGCGAGCATCATGGGTCGGGGTAGTACGACGAGGCCGCGGGGGCGGGAGGCAGCGACGGAAGACGCCGCGGGGCCGTAGGCAGCGACGGAAGTTACTGCTTGGTAAGTTAATATCGCGGGCCGAAGGACGCCGGGGGTGAAATGCAGAAACTAATGTAGAGAGCTGAAATACGTCGAAGAATATCCTTGAGCTAGAAAGAACCGAAGGTCGAGAGAGAAGAACGAGGCCGATCGGTAGCTTGAGCACACATTTCCGCTCCCGAACAGGAGTACAGCACACTTTTGGCACTTTCCCGCGCAGGAGTATTGATCACGCGCCTTGCAGAAAGGAAGGAGGGGAGGACAATCCGCACTGTAGGTAGTATTGACAGGAGATCTTGTTCTTTGAGTTGGTTTGGGACGGGATTCGGAACACATTCGTGTAAAAATTGGCGCACGTTTTGGCAATGAGATTTTCTCAATAAATGTGAAGCTTTTCTGTATTCGATCGATTTTTTTCTTTTTCCACTGATGTTTACACTGATCTCGAAAGAATCGCAAGGACCAGCAGAGTTCCAGAGTTGTGAAATTAAGCAGTAGCTGTAGGTTTGGAGTGACAAAGGGCCTCGTTTGTGTCAAAAGGTGGACCTAGAGGAGCACATGGTGTAGAGAAGTCGTAGGCGTTCGACGAATTTGGTCACAAGGTATCTCTATCAGTCAGCCTGATCGATTCACAAGTATTTCCTCGTGATTCTTGCCGGTCAGTCTTCTTTTCGAAGCGTCGTGCTCTTTCATCCCATACTATGCCGCACTGTCAGTGATGCCTCTGAATTCGGGTGTCGTAGAACTCTGGATTTTTTAATGTGAGAAGTATTAGTTTGAATATGTTACTCACTGATTCGTGTCTTAAACTCGACGATGATGGGTGGAAAAAAATCAGCTCTTTCGTGTGTGCTCACAAACTACTGACCATAATATCGTTGCTTTTGTCCGTTGTATTTTGAAGCATGTCAGAACTAACCTCTTTTTCTTTTTTTTTTGGTTTTCAATTTCACCGCAGATGGAAGCATGTCAGGGTGCGGAGCCCGTTTCAACTAGCATGGCCGATAATTGCCCAGGCGAGGCGATGGCCTCCGTCCCGGGACCTAAAGTAGAGCCCTCCGAAGCTGTTAAGGCAGGTGCTACCTCTTCGACAGGCGGTGCATCAGGAGTAAAACCACTAAACAGTGGTCGAACAGTGTCCGAAAGTCAAAATGTTACCAACGACTCGGCAGACTCCAGCAGGAGGCCAACGCCTCAATTTATAGAAGGACTTGAAAGGTGTTTCATGCATCTTTGTGAGGTATTTCAACCTTCAGCCTTGTGCGTGAACCTGCGAAGTTTCACTGCAAAAAGCGCCGTGTTGTCAGGAATTTAATTAGCTGATATTTTTTCTTGAGTTCTGGTTTTTATTTCGTTGTGAGTTTAAGGTTGTAATCCTGTATATTGTTTTGAAATCGTCTCTTTGCTGATCGTGCTGGGATATCTTTAAGCCTCTGGCCTCCGTTCATCGGCATTTTTTTTCTTTTCGTTTCCGGGATAATTATATATATTTTCGAAGACTGCAGCACTTCCATTTCCCCAGCACCTCCTTAGTTGCGACCTCATATATGTTTGAGGTTTTTTCCAGGACCAATTGGCCTTTTAGCGTCGATCTGAGCATTTCTCTTCTTGAGTAACCTCATTTGTGACCAAAAATTGTTTCAGGATCAAGCGGTTTTCCACTTATTTCAGTATCATCGTCTGCCTCTTTTCGCAACGTTGTCGGTTTTGACAACTCACTTGATTGATGGTTAGTTCGTATGTGACGACATTTTTTTGTGAACCACAGACTACAGAGCTGCCTGAGTGTACTTCGGCGTCTGCTTGCTTGGAGATGTTGCTCATTAAATTTCTTATCTTCTCCCTTTGAAAGTTTGGCATATACTGCAGTTTTTTACAAAAGTATGCGTGAGAACTTCTTGCTCCCGTGCAAGAAAATCTTTCAAATTTAAGCCTGACCGCAAGCCTCGCCGACTGATAAGTGGTCACCACAGAAACTTGTGCAGAATTTATCTATGGGGCTACTCAAGGAAGGGTAGTGTCCGATAAGCTGTAACATACCAGCTGGGTTTTGACGATTTTGAAGAAGTCTTCAATTGTCATCTTTTATCCCCCATTGGCCAGCCTAAGCTCTGTACATTTAGACAATACACCTCACGTTCAGTCTACAAGGCGTGTTGGCTTCAAGCGTCGGCGTGGACAATGATAAAGTGTCGGGTTACTGACCGAAGGATGTGCGCATCTAGCTGAAACCAGCCGAAATCAGCTTGTTTTGACACGCGAGAGGGTCAACGTGGGCATTACTTCGGCATTTGTTTCACCCAAAAATGGAGAATCATGTGCTTATTGCTCGTTCCTCATTCCTGTGGCTGGGCGACCTAGTCTTGGTTTTAGGCCCATTCCAGTCGTTTGAAACTTTTATATGAACAATATTGGTAGTATTCTTATCTCATCATAGAGGGAGGAGAAAACATGCTGAAAGATCCGATAGCACGCCGTGAAACATGGTGAAACGGAAATCATTAATATTTTTTATTAAGTTCGGATTCATCAAGACTCGATCCTTAGCCTTCAAGTCTTCTCATCCAAATTGGGAACTGAAAATACGGTGTTCAGTTCCATACCTCACTGAGAGTGGCATATTGTTGTTGCTGTTGATGATGAACTTCAAATTGATGTGCTCAGCCTTTAATTGACAAGGTACAACAGCCTTTAATGCAAGCAAAGAAAGCAATTGTTGTCCTTGTAATGATTGTGTGCACATGTCCTGGATGTATTGTAACCAACCAAAATGCATTATTTTACAGGTTTGTCTTTGCTTGGACGAGAAGACCTGTCTAGCAGCCATGAAATTGTTCAGAGAGAGCAAGCGACATTTGATTGCTAATTTAGGCGTTATGGGAACTGGCAACGTACGATCAATAATTTCATGACTTCACCAATTGTGTATTCTTTTATTACTGCTTCCGATTGGATTTTTACGTACCTGACTCTATTTCTACGGTTTTCTCCAGGTTCCAATTTATTTCAATTAGGTTGCAGTGCAGCATGTGATACAGTAGTTCGCCTTCAAAGTCCTATCTTTCCATCAGATGTTAGAAGGGATCCCGTCTGAGTGACCATGTGTTGACCGAGGGATAGTCGTATAGGAGCCACGAACTTCGTTAGCTCGTTACCATCAGGCTGTTGGATCATGAGTTCATGGCCCGTGTCTGACAGCTGTATTGAAGTTTTTGCGCTTTCAGGCAGAAGAGGCCGCACATTTGTGGTATGCCTGTATACTGTTTGCTGTTAAAAGTCTGTCGAATAAAACCACTAGCGACAATTTGGAGGAGGACACCGTCGCAGGATTCACGCTATCTCAGATTTTGAAGGCTACGAAGCTTAGGTTTGATACACCATTATCTGAAATGATTTCCAAGTGTACTCTTCGTGTTCAATTGAAATGATTCAAGGAAGCAAAATTGCTGGAGGTGGCCATGAACCTCGTTTTACTTTGTTTCTTTCAACACAGACTCATAGACTTCTTCAAAGAAATCCCGCAAATATTAGCCAAAGTTGGCCCAGAGTTGTCGAGCATGTATGGTGAAGATTGGGAGAAACGTCTTCAGGTATGCGATGCGTAATATAGAAGATGTCACGAGTGAAATTTCATTCTAAACTTCTTTCACCGTAGACAAGCAAAGGTCCGGTTAGGTCTTCGGTGTAGCCAGTTTCCACTGGACTAAGTTTTATGGTACTCTCAGGCAAAGGAGCTCCAAGCAGACTTCTACTACCTGACAGTCTTATTCAAGTATGAACACTTTCCTCTATTTGTCTTTGCTTTCCTGTTCCTTCGTCCGTTCCGGAAGACGTCTTGTCGTTGATGTTGAACGCATCGTATCCAAGTGACAGTTTGATAGATAATTCCTCGGTAGGATCGCGTGGAAATCGTGCTTTTGCATCAACTTAACTTTGACTTTAAGTACCTGTCCTGCTGCAAAACCTGCCTTTTTCTTTTGCATCTAAATGAGAACTTTAATTCCTTGCAGTTACTATAAGCGTGTGTACTACAACTTGTTCTCTGACGAAGGCCCTCGGGGTTCACTTTCTGGATCACTCGGAGGAGGTGCAACTTCTATCCATATGAGATTTGGATGGATGCTTTTTCTTGCCCTCCGGATGCGTGTTCTTAGTCGGTTTATGGATCTGGTCACGTACATCAACGGACTCCTTGCAGTTGTGGTACGTGAAATGTCTTTTTACTGTTAAGTGAGCGGTTACTTTTCAAGATTAGTCTTTACTCATCACATAAAGTGTATGCACTTGTGGAGTCCGGGACTGTTCTTATATCTGCTTTATTTTCCGTCAGTAGACCATGTACAGATTCCTTACGCGCTTGTGATTATACTTGTGTCTATAGATAATTATGATTCTGCACATGCCGCCATCTTTGAGGAAGTTCACCTTTGAAGATGAAGCTTTTTTCAGTAAGTTACTAAACGCCCCAAAGCTCAGGTTTACAAGCCGGTTGATCCTATCAGCTTTTTGCTTCTTGCACGCCTCACTTCGGTTGTGCGATAATCTTTGGATTTACGTGGATGCATCGACTCTTCTTGGATGCAGAAGAGAGGTCTGCGGATGGGCGTGTTAAGCTCGTCGCTTCCCTATGTGCCCGTTATCATGATGCTTCTGAAGAAGATGTATCTAAGATGGTTGAGAAAGCAAGTAGCATGATTGGGGATCTCTTTAGGAAAAGCAGTAGCTTCAGGACCCGGAGTCATGCAGAGCAATTAGCTGGCATTGATACAGGTAAGTTGCACCTATTTGTGAAAGTATTGCCTTTTTCCTTTGGTTCTTTTTGTTCTAAGGTCATGCATCAGATGAGACTAGAAGCTATGCATGGTCCTTTCCTGGATATGAAGGAAAGGCCAATTTGCTTGAAGAGTCCGAACATTAGATGTTGGTTTCAACATTGTGAATTGAAGACGGATGAATCATGTTTGGTTCAGAGTTACATTTGCGTCCTGGGTAATCATGTTTCTCTTACGAGGTAATGTAATATATGGTCTTAAAATAAAGTCAGGATCGTAAATAGTCATCTTACGGGATGACTCGGGAAACCAAAAGGACTAAAAGGGTTTCCATCATTCAGTCCTCTATTCTCCAAAAATTCAGTTGTTTTTCGAGATATTATGATCTGGTGACAGGCGAAGTAATACAAATGAACGTGGTTATTATTCAATCGTATTGCTCTTGTCTCGGTAATATCGTTGTAGAGCTCCCGTCTACACTTTTCTCTTGTTTTGATTCGCGTATGCCCCGACCACTTGAAAGTACCATGGACCGCACGTTTCTCATACGAGGAAATAGGTTACGTGTTCTGAGAGACTTCTGCTTGAACCATATGTTGACTTTCCACTAATCCTACATGTGTCTCCTGTAGAGGGCCTTGCTTACTTCGAAGGTTTGATGGACGAACGCTCAGTTTCATCCAACCTGCGTATTGTGGAGAAGGATTATGAGGAGGCTTATCACAGTCGAGGAGAACTTGACGAGCGGATGTTCATCAACGGAGAGGAGAATTACTTAGGAACTCTTTCCTCCGGCACTCCTTCAACCAGTTCTGGCTCAAAGGCATCTGTCTAAACTCATGCCGCTGAACATTCATTTTTTATTTTTATTGCGAAGGGTTGATGACCTGTTATAGCAGATCCATGTATACGATTACGACGGATTTAGCCAAAGACGGTCTAACACTACGTATCTCAATCTACAGCGCAAATACGAGGCAATCAGTTCTCCAAATCAAGCAGCAATATCAACAGGAGTGTGCCCATCTTCGCCTTCGTCCCCTTGTTCATCCCCTGTGAAAGCAAGTGCTGCGGGCCCTATCAACAAATTGCCAGCCGGTACACCTGTGAGTGTCACCATGTCAACAGTAAAGTGGCTTCGAACTGTAATATCTCCGCTGCCGGCGAAACCTTCGCCTGAACTGCAGCAGTATTTCCAGTCCTGTGATCAGGATATTACGAATGATGTAACGTACAGAGCTCAAGTGTTACTTGAAGGGATCTTCTCAAACGCCGGAGCTAACAAAACGCGTGACAGTAAAGGCTCTGTGGTGCTAGATAGTGGTTGGGCTGAACAGCGACGTCAGGAAGCTCTAAAGTTGTACTACAGGGTTCTGACTGGCATGTGTAAGGCGGAATCTCAGCGTCTAGGCAACAAGAATCTGTCCCTTCTTTTGACCAATGAGAGGTTTCATCGGTGTATGCTTGCGTGCTCAGCAGAGCTGGTACTGTATACGCATAAAACCGTGAAGATGACATTTCCAGCAGTTTTGGAGCCGACGGGAATAACTGCATTCGATCTCAGTAAGGTGATCGAAAGTTTTGTGAGACACGAAGAAACGCTTCCAAGAGAGCTTAAGCGTCATTTAAACTCAATGGAGCAGCAAATACTTGAGAGTATGGCCTGGGAAAAAGGGTCTTCAATGTACAGTTGGCTTATCGTTGCAAAGAAGAACCTGGCTGAGACTATAAACAGGATGGGTCTTATGGCTGAACCTATGCCTTCCCTCGATTTTCTTGGACAACAAAATCGAATTCTGTCAGGCAACACTCAGCAGTTGAGAGACGGAGCAGGTGCTGAGCCCTACCCTTTTGCCCCAAAATCTCTTCCTACTGAAGTATCTGAATTTTGATACAGGTGCGCTGTGATAGCGTTCTAGATAAGACGGTCTTGATTTGACTGAAGTAGCTCAATATCTGCCCCTCTTTGCAAACTTTGTGTTTTTTATCAAAGTTGAAGCTTAAGTTAATGTATTCAGGTCCCAGCATATCTTCACGCCTCCATGTTCCCATTGTGCTGACAGAAGTGATGGTGCTCACTGGCTTTGGGAAGTACGATTCTTGGAGCCAGGAGTTAAAACTCTCTACTTCACTCTCTTGAGCTGTCACATAGTTTGAATGAGTCCAGTATTTTTCCTACAGTTTCCCTGCTGATTCAGCTCCCAAAGCAGACTTTGTCCTCGATCTAGAGTGTATTGTATGCCTACTGATTAGCTGAATATCGTGGTTTTAAGTCCGTCTTCATTGGATTGCGTTCGTTACGGCTCAGTATCTTGTGCGTTTTCTCATAAGTGAGAAGCATCACAAGGCCTAGTTGGTTTTTGTCAGCTTCTAGCACGTTAATGTTTGCCGTGAAAGTTGATAATACTGAATTGATAGTTGGTTAACGTCTTCGCAGCTGAGGGGTCAGGTGCTTCTGGTTCACCTCAGAGAGTGGTTGTACCATCAGCAAGCAACACTCATGGTCCACCTGTCGTAAGCAATGGATCGTCAGAGGTTTCCTGTAGTTTTAGATCTCCTGTGAAGGAGCGGACGTCTGCATTCTCTGCCTTTACCTCTCCAGCGAAAAATCGTATACAACCCACACTTCAATTAGCGTTTGCCAGGTACCACCTTCACTTTACTCATATCAAGCATTCTATCACGGACCAGCCTTTATCTGCCTCTCGTTTTCCCTTCTTTTGCCTCAGAACACTTTTTATTCTTCTGAACAAATGCTGAATCTGCAGTCCTCAAAGGCCTAGTCCGCTTGGTGGAGGGGAGACATGTGCTGAAACTGTCATCAACGTGTTTTTCCAGAAGGTAGAGTTCAATGTGGTTTTGAGCTTGATCCTTGTATAGATTTTCAGCTTTCTTGTGCTCAGATATATTATTCGTCATTCCTGTTGCTTCGAATCTTTATGTTACAATGTACATTTTAATGACAGTTCCAGTCGACTTTACAGATTACGAGATTATCCTTTAATTTGTGTCTTTTGGATGCCGATTTTGCTGTTATTGAGTAGTATCGTTTGGGGCATCAAGGAATTCCTTTTGTGTATGAAAGGTTTTCTCGTTTGACACCCTGAATGTTGAAACGACTTTCAGTTGTGGGTAGATTTCCTATCATGTGAGATAGCCTCTTCATTCTCTGATAGTCATCTCTCTTTCCCAGCTTCCTTCATCACGTCGTACTTTTCCTTCCCAACCCGTCACTACTTGCAGCAAACAACCAGTTGGTGGTGATTATGGACATCAGGCTACGACAGGCAACCATCACCTTAAAAACTCCCCATGGCCTTACATTTCATATAGTTCGACTCTACATGTGCCTCACATGCTTACTCACAAAAGATTTGTTTGGAACCCTCTTGATCTGTGTTGTCTGTATGTCTAAGTGCGTGCATAAATCCGTTACTTGCGAATTAGTTATATATTTCGCAACAGCTGTTTGCTAAGTTGACTAACATCGTTAACCAAATTGTGCAGGTTTTAAAACTAGCATTCGTACGAATCAAGGATCTGTGCTGTAGGTTACAACAGTCAAGTGAAGTGTGGGATCAAGTATATAGAGCAATGCAGCATATACTTCACAAAGCAACCCATTTGTTTTTCAAACGACATATTGATCAACTGATACTTTGCAGCATATATGGCGTTTGCAAGGTTAGTTCGTTCTTTTGTGACCGACCTATGTAGAATGATTCTACTGACCCTAGTGTGGAATTTGTGTGTTTTAAAGGTCGATGCTCAATGTAAGCTTTTAAGTATTTCATTGATCGGTATGTCCTAGGCTCAGTTTGAATCTGTAAAAGTCGCTACTTTTATTTTTTATAGCGGATTGTACAAGATGGCTTGTGTGGAGAACGACAATTTTTTCACCAGAACAAAGATGCTTCATTCCTTTGAAGCAGGCAAATTGATAACATGATAGTTGTTGCGATTTACAGGTGAGGAAAGCGGATGTGACTTTCAAGAAATGTATAGAGCAGTATGGGAAGCAGCCCCAGTGCAAGTCACATGTTTTTCGAAACGTTTACATCGATATGCCGGTCAGGGGAGATAGTGTAAGATTCTAACACATTTCTTTGTATGCACATTTGAACCTAATTTCTGATTCGATACATACTCATGACTTCTTCCAGTACCACAAGGATTTTGTCGGTTTCTGTTGCGATTCTGAACAGACATGAAACTGTCTGCAGAAAAATGGACAAGGGACAGGAGATATCATTAAATTCTATAATGAGGTTTTTGTTCCTGCAACTAAACTTTACTTGCAACATCTCGGTTCAAGCGCTGTAGTATCGGCTCCCATGACGAATCGGAATGGAGACGAGGACCGTAATGACACAGATGGTAAGTCTCAATGGTATCTAACTTGTTGGGTAGTCCCTCGTTCAATACCTGTACTGGGATTTTAATGAGTCTTCTGAATCTATTATCACAGGATACAGCCAGTCTCCTTCTTGATAGTATGGCAAATGCTGGGCATTTTGCCTATTGCAAGAGCTGTGAACCATCATATGTAACTTAAGCATATCCTCGAACTTCCATCCACAATTATGTACCCTGAATCTGTAGGCAATTGATCTGTTGCGTTCCAATATTTTGTTGCTTTGTGTAATTCCTCTGGTGCTGAGATTTTGTGTTTTCATAAGCATCTTCCCTATCATCATGTGGACTGATTATTACTATTTTATGGTATTGTTATAACCATTTTGCCTTGGCAAATCGGAGCACCAAATCGGTGTGATGTTTCGAAAGTCTTAGTTCATCACTGAAAGATAAATTGAACTCAGTTGGAATTAGTATAGAGGACAGTATCGTCCAGTGTTATTGACAAGTTTTAGCTCCTTGTTATCTGACGTTAACTTTGGCGATAATTTGGTGACTCAGGACCGGGACCAGGATCACCCAAAGTGCCTTCTTTTGTTGCACTTCCAGACATGTCTCCAAAGAAAGTGTCTGCCACTCACAACGTTTATGTATCACCTTTACGAGCTACAAAGGTAGTTTGGCAACGTTATCGGTCTAGAACATATAAGTCTCCAATGATGTACGTCTGACTAAGTTCCAAGTCATCCCTCACATTCGACCGAGGTTCACTTCTCGTGTTTGGAGCCGTTAACTTGCCTATGCGGATTTTCGGAGCAGGATTTGATTATGAATATCTTTGCATTAACTGCCCACATCTTGCTACTTCCGGATACGTGCCCTGGTTATGAAATGCACAGTATATTCTTCTCAGACCTGCGGCTAAAGAAATGGTGTGTTAATGCTAGCAGTAATCGCAAACATCGGGTTCTGCATTTGGTATACTTTGCCTTCTAGGTCTTGAAGGTCTGATGAAACGTTTTGATGGTATGAATGTTTTCATGTCTACAAACAGATGGATACGATAATGTCACCTCATACTCGAAGTTTATATGCATGTGTCGGCGAAAGTACCCATGCTTATCAAAGCCCCTCGAAGGACTTGTCAGCTATTAACCACCGGTTAAATCCCAGGTCTGATTGCTTGTATCTTAGTTTTTTTGAATTGGTTGGGATGTTTTTGCTCTCAAAACAGATTTAGAGAAATAGTGTTGATCGGATTGTTCTCGAGAGGAGAGATTTCTGAAAATATGATTTTTTACAGGCGGGTTGGTGGTAGATTGGACTTTACGGAAGCGGGATGCGATTCCCGTCTAGTAAGTGACTCACTGGTGGCCGGGAGTTTGTATCCTTGTACGAGAAATGGGAATCATCATACAACTCCTGCTTGGACCATGGCTGCCCCACTCCCTCCCTCTCCTTTGAAGCGGCCTCGTCCTGATAGGTAGTACTGACGAAAATTTGTGTCCTTCTACGAGTCTAGAACGAGAGGTGGTCTTTTCTTTGTCAAATTGGAATTGGGTGTTTTTGTGTTGCAACGTAAACCTCTAGGGTCAGTCGAAGCAGACGTGTACATGGATGTAGTTTTGCACAATCGAATTAACTAGTAATAGTTCTAAAATGTCGTTGGTTGCTTGGACATTGGGTATGTGGGTCTGGTCAGTAGACCTGCCATGCCCTGCGATGACCCCAAGCTTCAAGTGCCGAAGTTGTTAAGTCACCAGGGACCGGTGTTGGCGTAGAGGGGTTACTGGTTGGGATTCCCTTCTTAGATCTGCCGTGCTAATTTGTCCCACGAAGTCATGTCTGCCCAAAGCGAGAGCTGCTGAGCTTCGAGTGGTGGATCATGCGGAAACACAAATAAAGGGTTAAGAGAGAAGTCTTGCCCAGCAAAGATCCTGGGGAAACATGGGTAGGGGTGCTGTCTTTGTTTGCTTTAGGTCAATAATCTTAACTATGAAAGAATATCCCAGCAACACCACAGTAGGTGAGCCTTAAGGCGGAGGGTGCGCCCTCTATGACTGGCCTGACTAGCCACTCTTTAGTTGCCGCAGGTTAATAGATCATAACTTAGATGTGATATATTTGGAAATTTTGCTGTTAGCAGTGAGTGACCTGGGCCCACCCTCTTTACATAACAGTTAAAATTGCAGATTTGAGGTCATCCAGACACAATGCCCAGGACAATGACCAGGCCTGTGTGTCTGATGTATCCATCTTGTACAATATTGCATTCAGAAGAAATCATGAGTTGTCCTTATTATCAAGTTGTAATGATCGCTACCGTGTGGACGCACAACTTTGTGGTTTGCACATGTAAGCTTTCAAGTTTGTTTGTTTTTCTTCCTTCACGGAAGTATACCTCCATGATACTGGATGTTCATACTGTGCGGGTACGTGAATTACACATCACATACATATCACTTCCGAGAGAACCTTGGCTACTTCGACGACACACGTGGATGGGATACCCTATTCAGTTTTGTCCATTCCATTTTGTGATTTCATGTGTTTATGTCTTTGTAACAAGAACAGATCCCGTACCCTCCGATGGTCAAGGTACGGGACTTTTTTGAATGTGCCATGAGAATCAGACGTCTCATTGTAGAGTAGAGTAGTTGGTCAATGCTGCCATCATTGGATTTACTTCAGGCTAGATCGCCACTAGGGACAAACGTGGGTTTAAGAAGTTTAGACGTTCTCCGCAGTTGTGAGCTTTGGAGGTTTTTGTCGTCTTTTCTTTCTTTAGACTTTTCCGTTCGGCATTCCTTCCTTAAGCCTTCCATGTCTTCAAGTTAGTGGATCTGGGTGTACTGTTTTTATTTGATAAGAAAAAACTTTGCACTTGGCTGACCTCCTAGTTGTAATCTTTATTGGGTCTTAACTCGGCTATTTGGACCTGTAAGGGCTGTTATGTGTGGAAGTATTTTACAAGGACCCCACCACATCTGCAAGCTGACCTACAAGTGAGAGCCATGCTGTTGAAAAAGATTAAAGCATTTGGCAGTTGCTGTCCTTGAGACTGCAACTGACCTCCACCGAAGAAATCTCATGCGGGTTGTCACCATTTCTTAGGCTAGATTACATTAAAGATTGGTTTTATAGTGAAAAGAATGTGTAAGTAGTTTGTACGGGACGGGGTTTGTTTGGAGGAGAGAGGTACTTGATAAAGTGTGTTCACTTTCACTATACTAATCATGAGCTCCAAACTCCTCCAAAGCCTCGAGAAGAGAGACTAAAAACTGCAGTGGTGAAGACGATTTTGGACAATGTTTTTACGCTCCAAGAGGTTTTTTAACAAAAAGTGTTATATTGAGCAAAAGGGGAACGTGTAATTGACGAATAGAATATTTGAAGATTTTTCCTGCGGATTTTGTTTCCCACATGTACATTAAACAAGCGCCGAATTAGATGGTCTTGACTTCTGCAGATAAATTGTTTTCGTTTGATCAATAGTTTAATCTCTAAATTTCTTTATCGGTAGATTTGTCCATCTAAGTTTAACCAAGATTCCAAGAACATTTTACATCTTACTTGTGCTACAAAACCTCTGTGTGGAATGTCTCGCATACAAATGAATAGATGATATACACTAGTTTATAGTATCAAATATATGAATCTCTTCATTGATTTGTCATAGGAATCGATAGATTTTATTTCTTTCAAATTTTCAATTGAATGATCAAGTGAGTAAAGTTTAAAATGTGATAAGAAATGAATCCAAAGTGTTCTATAATTTGGCTTATTCAAATTTTTTACCATAAATCTAAAATATGAGATAATCTTAATTATACATTTGTTTCTATAAACAGCTGTACCTAAGATTTATTTAAATCTTTCATGTCGAATGTACACTTTGATGTTATGTTATATTTTTCAATATTATATTGTTACTTTTCAATATCAATATATTATTCGAATACAGTACTGAAAAATTATGAGAAAATTTTATTATTAATATTTATCATGTATACATCGAGATGAAACAAAATTGTTCATAATATCTTGATTCGAATTATTTTAATACTTCCTTCAATTGCTAAAAATACTATAGGGATGTAGCTATTATTTTTTTTAAAGCTAATAAACTAGTTCGAGAAATTTTTCTTCAAGATCTAGAAATTAGATCAAGAAATTACTATAACAAACTTTTAGTTTATTTATTATTAAATAAAATTTGTTAGCAAATTCACATGCTAGTCATATAATGATATACTTTGTTATAAATGAATATCATCTGTTTGTGATAATTATTTTTTTTAATAAAAATTTTAGCTAAAAATTAAACTTTAAAGAAACTTGATATTTTTCTTTAGTAGTTGGATAATCGTTGAACTTTATTTCCATTTGTCATCAACCAAAAAATTTAATTTACAAATGCTTTTAGGAAATCACAATAACATCATAGACATGTGGTGCAAAAAGTACATTATTCGTCTACTCCAAGAGTTTTAGTGTCAAAAAACTTTGAAACAATGGTGGAGGAGTAAGATCTTTTACGTCTTTATTTGTCATAACCAAAACCTAAAGTGGATTTTCTGGAAACGTAATCCAATGTCTACAACTTATAAGAGTTAACCCTAACAAACTCTCCCCCAAAACCCAAAGTGGAAAATTCTGGAAACTTAATCCACTGTCTACAACTTATAAGAGTTAACCCTAACAAACTCTACCCCTTAACACATGTTGAGTAAATAGTAGTCTTCATGACCTATACAATCACTCTGCGGAGGCCAACATTTTACTTCAAATCTGTATCCAGATCAAACCATAACCATCAACAGTGACCTATGCCCATCCATGTTATTCCAATTACGTCGATTGTGTTATGTGTAGAATACGGTTACACCAATTCTTGGTTGGATCTGACAAAAACACTACCACTAGCATTACTTGTGCCCATCCATGGAAAAATAATCTCACCCACAACCCATGGACATGGATGGATTTGGGCATGGTCATGAATATGGGCACCCAATGTTGGGCTAGCTAGAAGAAAATTTAACAGGCTTTCCTGTTTAAACTAGAAATAAGTTATAATCAAAACAAATTATAGTAAAATATAAAGAATGAATCAATTTGCTAGTAAACTTTCATTGTGGTCCTCTCGTGAAATCTATATAATAGCACAATGTCTACAGAAACTCTTCAAAATAATAATTGTTGATCAACAATTACAATTGAATTTAACTTACATTTGACTAACAAAACCTTTTATAAAAAAATGCATGTCTCATGAAGTGATACTTCATGTTAATATATTTTGCTATGTTATTCATCATTTGATTTGCAACAAAATGTAAGACATTTTGACTATCATAGTAAAGATTGACAAGTTCTTGTTTTAATCTTGTTTCAATTGAATTAATTGTTTCAATCTTAGTGATAAGTCTATTCAACCAAATAATTTATGTTACTATTTTTGTTAACGTTATTCACTCAACTTACCTTTTAGATTGAGATATGCACTTCTGCAAAATAAATTTCCTAACAATGCATACATCATCTAGTGTAAGTACATATTAAATTGTAGATTTTTTCTTCTTCATAGTCAAATATCGATTGATTTACTATTGATTTTTACTTCAAAATTGATTACACCAACTGAAATAATCACAATGGTTGAAACTCGTAAGCATCCTACATACATAACCAAACTAGATTAAAATTACTGAAGAATAAAACTTGCAATTATCACATTAGCGCTATTAAGAGCTTATCACAACACAAAAAATGAGAGTGATTGTATTAATTTATAGACATTCCAAAATAACTACAATTACACACTCCACTCACACTCGTATTATATAAAACAATTGTATTTGAACCTAATCCATATTCAGCCTAAATAGCTAAGTTCATGCATGAGTTATTTTTTTAAAGTATCACATCTCTTGTAAATTTTGACTTAAAAATTTCACTTCAAAAAGCCAAATCCCAAACACTACTCCTTGAACCATAGATTACACAAGAAATTTACATGCACTAACATCAAAGGTGAGGTAGGCTTACTATAAAATCTTTAGTCTAGCTAATGTAAATATTCTTAATTATGAATTGCATCACATTACATCTCTTTAACTACTTGGAAGACTTTGAAATCACTACATTTATTCATGTATAGTTTTGTTGGATTCATAGACTATTTCAATTCACTGGGATTGCCATACCAGTAGAGCTCAATGAGCTACATATGCACATCACACAAGGTGGAAGGAATTCAAAGCCATCGTTATATAGAGAATAAATGGCTCATAAAGATTACGTTCTGAATTAATTTCAAAATCAGACTGCACGATGAATTCAGAAGTAGTTTGATGTAAAATTTGCAATTAGTTGAAAGATGTAAACGATAATTTCCTTTCAGGAATTTCCTTGAGGATGAAATATCAGCCAAAGCTTTGGATTTGCTGTTTCGTATTTTTGTCTATGAGAACATTGCATCCTAGAAAGTAAAGAAATCAGGTGAGAAATGTCCTGATCCTTGTATTTTGTTGAAATAAAAAGTTCTGGGGATGATCATACGAATCTAGCTCAATTTCGAGCTTGATTCAAGAGACTGTCACTTTGAGAAATATCTCATGAAGCTTGCTCTAGCAGATGCAAAAGATTCCACATGACCTATTCTAGAATCAGAGATATTGTAGGAAAGTGTATCACATCTATTTATAGAAGTTCAAAGATTGATAATAAAACTTAAATATAATTGAGATACCGCTGCAGTTTTTTGCCATAAAGACTACTATCGCTTCTCACCATGCACTTGCCCGTTCCAGAGGCGTCTCGAGACATCTTTGACCATTGCAATTAGATGCCTTTTCGCGCTCCTAGTATAATTGCTTTTCTTAGGCTTTGCGATTAAATTATCGTAGTGTCAGCGATGTTTTATCCGGTTTCAGTCAAACTATACTTGCCTATTACTACAAGTGGCTTCAACCGAGTTCGACAAAGGTTGCACTCGTTTTAATGCCATAGTCTGCTTTCAGAGCCATGTGGACTTTGATTGATTCATTCCATTCAGCAGGTGACGAATACTCCAACTGTCTTTGAACTGAGGCCTCAGTAGTTTTTCCTCCTCTTCGACAGATCTATGGATTCCTAGAGTTCGTTTCTGGGGAACATTCCAAGTCGTAAATTTTCTGATTCTTCATCTTTTACTCATTTTTTCTCCAGCCTCCCATATTTCTGTCAGTTGTTTCAGTCAAACACGAACGTTCACTGTCTGACCCAAGTCTTGTACTTGAGATACTGTTATTCGAATTCGAACAAAGTCTGACCCAAGTCTGAAGTTGGGTCATGACTTGGGTCAGAACAAAGTCTGACCCAAGTCTGGTATTATTCAAGCTGTGTTGCATCTGAAGTTTTCAAGTCTATTATACTGTCAATAATACCCAAGTCTAGACCCACGGCCAGGTTCGAATCCTAATTCAACGAGAACTAATTGTTGTTTTATTAAATGCTGTCCAAAGCTACAACTGAGGGAATGAAACTGGAATACGACTATTAACGCCGATATGAATGATGACCTTTCTTATTGTAAGCTTCACTACAACAGAAGCGATGATATACAGACGTCTGAAAGGCTGAATATGAAAGTACATTACTGCATGTGAGACCGTCTAGCAAGGAAACCGATCAACTCAATGCTCTTGTACGGAAGTTAATTGATATAATCATTTACAGTTTAGCAGCTTATTCTCAATGGTGAAAGATGTGTCAATGACTTGTGCCGAGAGAAATTATTATGCGCTGTAACATACAGTCTAAGAATTATCTGAAGAATCACTGTATCGCCTGCACCCTGATTTGATGTTCATCTCTGGATCTCATTTCGTCTTTACGCAGTGAGACCGTGACAAGCAAGAAAAGGAAACGAGAAAAATGGTGGTTGGTCGTTCCATCGAGCGAGGGTTGGGATCCATCTGGCGGCATCAGCGGGAGGAAGGATACGTATTTCTCTCTTGGGCAGCTTGATTTATCGGTGGTTCGGGTCCAGATTCGCCCTGCCAGTTCAGGTACGCGTTGCTTTCTTCCTTTCTTTCTCCTTCTCTCCTAATTTCATTCCTCATTCCTGTCTTCTTCTTCGTGGCTCTCCGACTAAGGTTTGCCCTGGCCAGTCCAGGCTTTCGTCAGTTCTTCGTGTACGTTGTTGTGTTCATCCTATCAATTGTGGTGTGGTGGACAGCTCCATCATTATCATCGTTGATCTGCAGCTGTTTGTGGTGGGTTGTTTACACATTTGTACGTTTGGTGGTGCTTTGCTTCCTGGTGGTTGTGTGATCGATTGTCGCGGCGGTCGTCGATGGGCGCTTCGAGTGGCAGTTGTAGAGTCATGCCGCCGGATAACTGATAATCATTCTGTTGTCATCGATCAGAACCACCCGAGAGAGAGAGAACTCCGACCCATCATCAGCCACCTCGCATCAACATGGTTTGCCCCAACTATCTTGCTCTCGACTTCAAGTTCCTCATCAAGGAACTGCCTTCAGGACGCCAACCGAGAGATCTGCTCTTGCAACGCCTCTATCAACAACCAGCTTCATCCTTCTTCCGACTTATAGCTCTATTGACTTCATGTTTCTACGTTTTGTACTGTTTGATTCTAACGAGTCCTCGAGGTAGGACCGTTCCTCAAAATGCACTATTGCTTACTGCCTTGCACCTCCTCACTGCCATTGGCTCCTCCTCCCATGATTTCATGTCGGGCTCAAGCAAATAGTGTTGTACTTATTTATTGTCACAAGGCTTAACATATGGTGCTCCTTGGCAAGGTATGAAGTTACTTGATGCATGTTTGTGGCTTGTCTCGGGGTTCTTACTGGGCTCTATAGTAACAATGTTGTACCTGGCTCAGCACCTTAGCTCTGGATGTGATTCCGAAGTTGTCTCACGGTAAGCTGCTAGAGAGATCATGCAGTGCATGTGAAGTTTGACCCTGCTACTTTGGAATAGTAACACCGACCTTGCCATCTTCAAGGTTCGAGACAAATTGCAGGACTCGGATACTTTGCTGGTTTCATTGAGCTGATGGGTGCACCAAGCCTAAACTCTCACACTCAAATATTCATTCGGATGTGACCAACAGACCAGCCCGGAGATGAAAGGTTACTTCTAGCTACACATTCACATACAAGACAACTTGCAGTAAGAATTATCTATTTGATCAACATGCTGTTTGCAGGACGAAGTAATAAAGCAAAAATTTGAGAAGATCCCACCAAGTAGTAAACAGGTAATGGGGGCTAGGCCACAATAGCTTCATGATGAAAATTGTGTTTTACTGCACCTAATGTTAACTTGACGATGTAGGTCAAACGGTCTACGATTGAAAGGAGCATTCAATGAAGCATCGCCAAATATGATTGTTATCCTTTTGATAACACGAGTCAATGCTTTCAGCAGAGGAAAAAATATGTAGCATAACAAGCACCCTGAAACTATATCAGGTTACACAACAAGCCGTTAGAGTGAAATTCATGCCTTATATGATAGGCTCTTATAGACTCTAAGAAACTTGTTAAAGTTCAAATTCATATCTCCATGTAATTCCAATGGAGAAAACAATAAAATAAAGTCTTAAGAGAACTCTACATTTGAATACATTGGTTACTAGAGGATGATATCATCTGTCATCAATCGCGATAGTTTGCGATTGTAACCTGGTACTCTCTAGCGAAAGACATATATCTCCTATCATTAGTCAACTTCAAAATAATTCACACTCCTCACTCTTTCTATCCTTAGCCGCCATAGCAAAATCGTATCTAGACTTATATATCACAATATGTATACTATCCCCTTTAGATAATCAACAAGTCCTCTGAAAAGCTATTGCATCTAAAATAACATTGCACTAACAATTACCGTATTTAATGTAGTATCGCATCATGAATGATGAAGATTTACATCGATGGACCAAGCCAAAGCGAATAATCATCGTTGTAGCAAAAATAAGTATTGCGAGTTTGAAAGTTTCAATACATGATGAGCCACAAGCTTTCACTCTTTCTAAATCAAGAGCATGAACAAGCCTCAGTAAGACAAATGTAAATTAACCCAAGAGCAATGTAGTAAGAGTAATTAAAGCATTTTTGCAAAAAGATAGATCACAAACCTCTAGTATCATCAATAGGATAATTAATCAAAATTGTGTTAGACTTACATGGCTAAAGCTTCTTTCGGAAGCTGTAAAAGGAACATCTTATTTGTAAAGTTTACTTTACATGAAAGATTAAAAAGAAGTTCAAATGTTTTATGTTCATAAGTGTGATGCTATCTTTTCAAAGTATGTGTGGCAGTACCAACAATGTCTTTTGACGCACTGAGCTTGAGAGTTACGATGCTCTGTCATCCCATTACTTTCGTTATTTTGAGTACATACCCTCGTTACATCAGGCAGTTGAAAAGGAAAACTATTGAAGCTTGTACTGTTCTTTTCATCCATTTTATTATATTGAAAGCCCTCAGTTTATATATATTGCTAGAAGGTAAAACTGGATTTATAAAGATGTACAATATGAAGGAAAACTCTTAAGACCGTTGTTAACTATGATATCTTCATTGACAGCTTTTGACTCTGTAATAACCCACCAAAGGCTAAAACTGCAATATAGTGGTAGAAAGGTCGAACCCACAGGGACAGAGGCAACACACAGAGTACAAAGTGTCACATTTAACAGACTATTGAAGAGTTTGAATTCTCAGGCGACTGTCACTCCCAGATATACTGCAAGTGTTCACTCGGAGCTCACTCGGAGGTCGCACAGTGCAGCGTAGTTCACTCAACACACACACACACACACACACACACACATGAAACTATAGAAACACAACTCAGAGGTCGGTTAGGACCTCTACTTAAGATTTCAGGGGGAAAGTCTCTCACGAATACACTCAGCGAATCTGCGGGTAGTGACTCCCAACTCCGGCTTTTACAACCCTTCCACTAGTTTCTGCTAGCACAGGGCATCCGGTTTGGACTTTCTACTTCGGATCGAAGTCACTCACACGCGGTGAACAACACACTCAACTCACAAAACGCGCAGAGAACACAGGTCCGAATTGAGAGATTCAACTGAGAAACGATCCAGTAGCACACCATAACAGTCTATTGAAGAGTTTGAATTCTTAGGCACTAGTCATTCCCAGAAATACTACAGGGGTTGCTCTGAAGGCACCTGCTGCAGCGTAACCTGAATTACAACCAAGGCTTACTTGAAGTAGCAAAATTTCACTTTGGCATTCAGGGGAAAAATTCCGAAGGAGTACAATCAGGAACAATCACTCGAAAGTGTAAGGGGGAAACTGTTCAAGTATCTAACTAGTGACTAGCTCTGAGCATCGGCAATCACCCGCAGGTGTAGATCTGAACTACTCAAGTCTCTAACCAGTACACTAGCTCTGAACATTCGGCCGAAGGCCTTCAGCTACAAAATGCGGATCGCCAAGTTGTAGCTCCTCTTGCGCGGTGATAGAACTAAGGACACAAACGCGCAGAGAAAATGAGTTCCTGATCTGCACTTCCGAAACTGGAAGAATCCCAAGGCAAGACGCCTTGAACTACTTTATACCCTCTAAGTCTTGACTAACACTACACTACTTGCACTACACGCCTGCACGGAACCACGCTACATTACACTCCACAGAACTCGTGCTTCGCCTTCTGTGCGACGGACTGCCGCGCACTAACTCCCTACCCTGCCAGTCTTCAGCTCGACTGCGCAGTCCAAGCCGCCGCAACACCGCAGAAACCTCTGTCTCGAGGGTGGCCATGGCGTCCCGCGACTTCGACATAAACGAATCTAACTTCTTCGCCACTTGCCGCCGGCTCCGACTGTCACCTGACATCAAACCCGCCGCACGAAGCTCTAACTCGCGCAGTGTGAGAATCTCCTGCGCCGCCACTTCCCAGTGGGCGTAACCTCTGAGACAGTGGTTGACTCGCCTCGCCAACTCTTCCTTCGTGCGATCTGACTCCCGCCGGCGATCGTCTTCAACTACAACCAACTGCAATTCGGCCTCCGCACGCTGCGCTCTCAATTCCCTGCACTCAGATTGCAGTTTACGGATTAATTCTTCATCGGCCTGCCGTGCGAGCTGACACTGCTCTAACAACCATGTCTGTCACACGAGCTCCTCTGACAAAATTCGATTATGAGCCTGCTCAAAATCCAGCTCCTCTACGAGCTTCGCCTTCTCCTTGGCGAACTCCTTTGCCGCCTCTTCAAGCTTCTCGTCCTTCGACTTGTCGAGGACCTTGTGCATCTTCCGAGTGAGATTAAGGTGGCTCCACAGGCACTCATACTTCTCCCGCAGATCTTTAAGGTCCCTATCCAGACGGGCCAACAACTTGCTGGTGTGGACTTTAGTGCGAGTCCGCCTACGCACTAATTCAACGTAGGACCCAGGCTGGCGGGGGTCTGCATACTTCTCCACTCTGCGATCAAGGTACCTCAACAGAAGAACCATCTGCTCGCAGAGCGCCGCCGTCGGCGTGCCTGCCACTGATTGTTTCTCCTCCTCACTCGATCCTGACCCCGATGCCGATTCCGTCGATCCTCCTTCGTCATCCTCTGAACTGAGGATTTCGGTCGCCACTGAATTCTCTGGCGACTGTCGTGAGTGTGGATTCGAAATGTCTGCGTCGTCTGCCACCACTGTCGCCGCTGCAGCCTCGCTGCTTCCTACCAAAATGTCTAAGGCGGTGGGAGAGTGGGGTTGTGCCAAATTTGTATCGCCCGCCTGTCTAGCTTCTGCTAACTCCGCATCGCCGAAGGCGTCCACCGCCGAAGGCGTTCGTGCGGAAGGTGTCTGCGCGGATTGCAGTTGTGCATCGCGCACACGTGTTTCCTCCTTCCGACTGTCATTCCGCTCCTCCGTTAGGTCCTGCTCCTTCGATAGGTCCTGCGCTGGAGGTGCCTCCGCCGAAGGCGGATTTGTCGGCGGCGCTTCCGCCGAAGGCGCGGCGCCGAAGGCGGCTCGCATGATGTCCCTTGGCCCGAAGGCCCTTCCGCCGAAGCCACACCTTCTGGCGGACTTCCCGCCGAGGGCGCGTTCCCCGCAGGCTCCCTATTTGCAACTCTTTGGCCCGAAGGCCCTTGCGCCGAAGGCGCACTTTCCGGCGGTCTCACCGCCGAAGGACCTTGCCCCGAAGACCCTTGAGCCGAAGGCGGATCTTTCGCCGGCTTCTTTCCCTTCCTTCGCTGCACCGGAGGCGACTGCGCCGAAGGCGCTCGAGCCAAAGCCCCAGCCCCGAAGGCGAGTCCGCGTACGGTACCCGAGCAGCTCTCCTATCCGCTGTCGGCACACTCATCCGTGCCGCGTGTTGTCTCTCTTGACCCGAAGGTCGTCTTGCTTCCGCCAAAGACATCAGTGCCTTCGGCGTAGGGAGGTCCGCTGACCCCTCTGCCGTCCGCGCATTCCCATCCTCCTCCGAGGATGGGGTCTCTTTCTCTCCAGCGGCACGCGCTGTCTCCGCGCTACTTGCAGGCAATACAAGCCTGCGTGCTTTCTGCTTCGGCCGACTGCAAATCTCCTCCAATGGTCACTTTTGTTTGAGAGCCGTCGAGTCTCAATGTGGAGCCTTCTCTGGTTCTCCCTTCCATCTCCGCTTCCGCGACACTCGTGCTGCGAATGTGTCCCTCCCCGCACCCTGTTGGGCTGGTGACGTGGAGGTCGGAGTGTCTTCCGCGTCGGAGTCGACCTCGTTATCCCTCACATACCTCCCGGAATTGCTGAGTGACAGCAGCAGATACTGAACACGCTCGGTCGCGGTTAAGCAACCCATCGACCGATAAAAGTTTATCTAGAAGGGGGAGAGATGATTGATCGATCCCCCCCTCTCCTCAAATGCATGCTGCCGCATTATCTTATGCAAGATACGCGACCAGTGAATCGGAGCTCCGGCCAACGCCAGCTCCACGAAAGACACTTGCCAAGAAGTGATGTATGTTGTTTGGTGCGGCTGCAAGAGTTGCAGAAGTGCCACCGCTACATTTCTGCGGTAGCGATCCTTGTAGTCACGGGTCTTGTACCCGTTCTTGCTGGACTTCTCACTCTTGAACAAGGCCGCGAAGGAGATCTCTTCGTCCTTCGTCACCTTGACGCTTTCACTATCAAATAGGAGGAATCCGTCCTTGCCTGCACATCTTCCCAGCACTTGTCCCCAATCTTGAACAGTCCAACGCTCTACGTGCGGTCGGAATCCGCGCGTAGGTTGGTGTCTTTCCCTTTGCCATTCGCGCACCATGTCTTGGCACATGTAATTCCATCCGCGTAGGAGGAAATCGAGCTTCACTGCAAACAGCTGGTCCTGGAAAGCGCGCAACCCAATCTGCGGGATCTTCAGCGGAATCATCCGCAGCTGAGTGGGCTTCGACATCGCGTTCTTGAAATTGGATTTCGTAAACTTTCCTCCGCTATACTCAAGCTTCTTGCCCGCGAATGCGATTCTCCTGCAAACTCTAATCTCTCTCAA